TAAGTTTTAGAAACGAACGCTTATCCACTGTTCACCAGTCCACGGATCAAATCGCTAAATGAAGAAATAAATGATTTGACTTGTCGGTTTGTAAAAAGAATTGCCAAAGGTAAATGCTCTCTTGCATTTATATTTTGTTTTACTTGGTAGGCTACAAAAAAAGAAAAAAAAGAGAGACAATACGCATGAGCAGTCAAGTGAGCAATAAGCGCGAAGTTTTTACTGAGGATATAAGTAGAGTCTATTTCATTACTCTCATCATACTAAAGCAATTAAAACACTAAGCAAATGAGTGATAGACAACCATTATTAGACCCGTCCAACAAGTTTTCTATCACTGATGATGATAGCGATGGAAATAAGAAAGTAAATCTGAAAAACAGGTACGTCTCAATTTATATACTGCATGCTCCTTATATAAATTAGTTGTTCTTTAAATATGCAAGAATGTTTTTCTTTTCTAAACAATGCATCTAAACATGCAAGTAATTTCTCCTAATCTTACCATTGTTTGACAAACAAATATTTCGAATGACATTATATTCAATAGTAAAAAAAGTGATTATTTACAGGCCAATGTGCTTTAGAAACGAAAAAGGCTATTGATAAAATGTCAGATATTTCAATAGATCTCTGACTGAACAGATTTTTCATGAATGGTGGAATGTAGGCGAAACGCACAATGTATAGACTAGCAGGGATGACAGAAGTGAAGTAATTCATATTTTTCGTCTTCAATTAATATAATAAACGCAGCAATTAATTGTCAATTATAGTTGTTTGTTTTTATCTTATTTTTATTTATCAATTGCAGATTTAGAATAATAAAAACGTATATCAAAGATTTTACGCAGATACAGGCGTGTGAAAAATCCAATTCACTAATATTGGATATGATTAAATTTACAGATAAGTTTACCATTAAGAAGATGGTAATCTATCAGTAAAAGCTACTTCAATATATACAGGTGAAGTGAAATTATATGATAGATCGACCAAATCCTTGAAAAAAGTTACAAAGTTTGATTTCGATTGATCGAATAAATAATCGTCAGCTGAAATGGTATATAGTTACTAATTCATTTCTAATCAATTTGAATTTTTTGTTCTTGGTGAATCAGAATTCGATATTTGATAGTGTCCTACACAATATGTGAATAATGTTTTGAAACATTATTCAGATAAACTTATATAACCTCACTATCGTTGTCATACATATCAACTATAATAACTGATGTAAATTAATAAAGGCTTACGTTAGTAATACTAGCTGTATTCTACTAGATGCAAAAAAAGGAATAGAACTAGAGTTACCGATGCTGATATATAATTCTTCATATTGAAATATGAATGCATCCGAAAAAAATGAGAATTTAGATCGATTGTTTTCTAGATAATGATTCTTCGTGCTCCCTTTATTTATAAATTAAAAGTAAAAAATTAATGAATAAAGGTTAAAGTACCATCGTAAAGAGAAAAAATGAAAGTTTTTCAAATTTTAAGTAGGCCTATATTGAACAACTCGCTGTAAAAATGAATCAAAATGAAAAGAAACTCTAATTTAGAAAATATTTTATCTATAAATACAAGAATAATAAGCTATCCGTTGAAAATATCTTTAAAAACTCAAGGCAATAAGTACAGACAGGTTTTGACAAGAAGGTATTATTCTGATCAGAAAATTTTTCAATTGTTTCCAGTGAAATCTGGTCAATTTTTCACTCTATCAAACTAAAAACAACCGTTGACCATAACATAAAAGCCCGAAAATGTACTAGCTGTAATACTATTTGCAGCTTCTGCATTTTCTGGGATTTTTCACGCGTCTTTCCTGTGGAATCCAAAATTATTGACCCGTAATGAAATAAATATTCATCGTCGGGTTTCGAATAACCATTCCTTTTACCATATAATCATAATAGAGTGTGATCCCATTAATAGTTTTCTTTACAAAATTACCAAAATCATAGAAATTTTATTGATATGAAGTATTTGACTTTTTTTCTTGTCTCTGCTGAGCAACATGTATTTCTAAATGTGTGAGTAATTATATTTGCCGTGAAACGTATGCATTTGAGCCCTCATCATACCAATTAATAGTGAATTGAATTTTCTACACGCCTGTATCCTTGTAAAATATTTGACATCCCTAATTCATTCTCCCCGGGGAGTCCCTGTCGTGAGTCCCCGGGGACTTTTTATTTGGGGGCTCCCCGGGGATTGCTCTGGGGAGAATTGATGAAATTTTTTTAAATTAAAAAGAAACTTTTTAATTTTTTTAAATTTTAAAAAATTTAGATGAATTTATTAGTAATTAGATATTTCATCGATTTTTGCCAGATAACTCTCCGGGGAGTCACCAGGGAGTCCACGCAAAAGAACGAAATCCCTAGGGACTCCCTGGGATTCTTCTATGGAGAGTTGACTAGGGTATTCTTTTTTATCATTATTAAATATTCGATAACTGATGAAAAACATGACAAGAAACAAACAACTGTAATTAGCAATTAATTGCTCTGGTTATGATTTTAATTGAAGACAAAGAACATGAATTACTTCACTTGTGTAATTCATATTAGTCTATGCATTGTGAAGTTCGCCCACATTCCACCATTGATGAAAATCTGTTAGATCTTAGGCATAATGAAGTATCTGAAATTTTATCATTAAAGTATTTTCGTTTCTAGAATGCACTAGCCTGTAGAAAATCATTTTTTTCTATTGAATATGATGCTATTCAAAATATTTTGGTAGCTGGATAATTAGTCACGGACAATTCGTCACATTGGCAAGTCGTCAACACTCTAAGTAAAAATATGTCGGATGTGTCGTAGTTTACGACACAAAACACGGCACATTCGAGTACGACATGAGATGCTCGTTGCGACACATTCTGCCCAGCAAGACCACGACGCATTTTTCACAACACATCCGACACATTTTCATTGGTTGTTTTTGAAACGCATATTTCGATATTTTTTTAAATTTAATTACATATATCTCTTTACTTTTTGAAAATTCCATCTGATCAGATCCTAAGATCTGGCTGATTTGGAATTGGTTCGATTCCTATCAGACTATCCAGTATAGTCCTTCCCGGATCATGGTTCGGGATGACAATTCCTTGATTATAAAGTATTCAAGAATTGATTTCAACGAAAATTTTATTTCAAGAACTTATCTTCCATGCATTCAACGATGTTGCTTATATGTCGCTGTATGTTCATAACAAATAGTGAACGACTAGTCGACTGACAGAACGCGAAAAATATACGACATATTTGTTTAATTAAAAGTGCGACACAAAAATTTACGATACATTTTTGTAATAGAGAGCATAACACAAAAATTCACGGCGCATACAGCCAACGCATTTTTATTTAGTGTGAAGTAACTAATTGAATGTAACACAATTAATGTAGAGGCGAAGAGAAATTTATGCATAGAGAAGTTTAGTGAAAATCATATTTTAGTTAAATTTACCTTTGCAATCTCAACTGTGATATCGAAAAACCATTTTCGCAAAAGCTTTTCGTTCTAAAGTATAATTGTAACCTTCATTGCCAAGCATAGACTTGTCCTTCTCACTTGAAAAAATCTTATTTGTACTCATTCTTCGTAAAACAGTAGTAAATTATTAAATTACCACTGAAAACAAGTGACTGTCTTTACTTTATAGTAGAGATGTCCACAGGGCAGAGTAGAAAAATTAATTTCACCCTCCCCTGTAACAGGACAGGGTAGGCCAAGGCAAATTTCAGGGTAGGGCAGGGTGGGAGCCGTACTCTGCAGGGTAAAAATTCAGTTGTTTGAATTTCAGTTCTGAAGAAATACTTTTAGTTTCGAAGTATCAAAAATAAACGATAAAAAATAGACTCCAGAGAGCGACAGCAACTGGTAAGCAGAACTTCCAATTTATATTGACCACCGTATGAATACGGTAGAATCAAGATAATTATAAATAGTGACCATAAAAGACGTAGGATATCTTAAGTGAGAATGGAAAATTCGAATATTTTAAGAATGGGTCACTCCAAAGGACTACCGAACAGGGACAAACTACTTTTCAAGTAGAACTCGCTGAGCTTTATTCAGCCTAGATACCAATCGTACTCAAAAGCTTCCTAAAAAAACTGAAAGTCACAAAAATCATAAAAGAGCCATACAAAACTCAACCAATTTTGCTAAATCTCGTCGCGATGGGCCAGAAAGATTTTTTCAACATAGTCGCAGTGGCCTCCAGTCGATAGAGCGGGTAAAAATCTGTTTAGAAGCCACCGTGGCTACCTCGGAAAGTTGCTATTGCGCTTACGAAAGGATTTAGCAAAAAATTTAGGAATTTGGACCTAATTTCTATGAGTCGGGAATGTTAAATCGAGCTCAAAAGGTGTCTAATCGATAGAGTACGGCAAGATCTGCACAGCAAATAGTATGAGTCATTGTAACGTTCTTCTGGGCGAATCACTATGGGTTTTACCAAAATTGATTCAGTTTCGTATGATTTTTCGGGATTTTAGCTTTCTACCAGGTAGTTTTTCAGTAGAATTCATATACGGGCTGGATAGATCCTGCCATATTCTGCTTCAAAAGTATTTTGTCTTTTTTGGAAAGCTGTTTGGAACGAATTAATTCAGGAAATACTCGGATCCAGTTCAAAGATGTTCTCCGTATGCCAGCTCATCAGAGTACATTTTAAATTTTTGCATTTTTTTCAACAGGGCAGGGGCAGGACACAAAAAAATCACCCTGTGGACATCTCTGCTTTATAGAACAATTTTATTTTTAGCTTTCAAAATAATTGCTTTTTTCTATTATTCAAAAATAGTATCAGAATATTCATTGTTTGCTTGGTGAGGATAACAGAATTATAATTTTATACATTAATTGAAACACGGTTTTAGTTAAGCCAATAAACAGTAAGGCATAGTACAGTTATAATCAATTACAGTGCATTCGTGACGAATAGTCTGACAACGAATTGTCCATACAACGAATGGTACATGCCACAAATTGTCTGGCGGCGAATTGTCCGTGCAGCGAATGGACTGTAAAATGCTTCCATATTCGAAACGAAGTAGTCAATTGGAAAAACACGACAGTTTAAAACAAACCTTTTAAGAAAAACTATTTTTCAAGAACTAAATCAAGACTCTTATCGCTCGGATGCCAAAAAGAAAGTTGCTATAAAGGTCTTTTTTGTTTCGGAATATTTTTTCGACGGTGTGTGTGAAAAAGTTTCTGAATCTTTTTTCCCATTGTATTTATACCGCAGAACTTTGAAGTATTATTTTTGATCAATAAGAAATTGTATCATCAATTAATCATGAGGTATCATTTTAATAATAGAATAATTAGTCTGAACGGATATTGCTGATTCTATCAGACATAGAACTCTTGAACAAAAGTATTATCATGGTAGATAGATTTTTTCTGATAATTGATAGCGTTGCAAATCATTCAATTGAGTCATACATCGCAGTGTACTGATAAATTCCGAGGGGAACGTCCTTTGCAAATAATTTTTCGCTCCTGACAAGCGCTGCGATGTATGAATTGAGTAGAAATTTCTTCACTGACTACTTTAACGTCGAGTATATGTCAAGGAGGAAAATCGAGACTCTCATACTTCGGAAGTAGAGTGGGATTACAGTGAAAATACAGTTGCAATCTACTTCAGCTGTAATTCCACCTACTCACGTTCTACTTCCACTCTACTTTCGAACTACGCGAGTCTTGCTTTTCTCGCTTGGTATATGTTGATGTAGAATTCATTTTAGAAAAGAGAAAACTTGTCTAATGTTTTAAAACCTTTTCAAGTAAAGAATATCTAGTTGTATGTGTTTTCGGAAAAATAAAGCTAATCTTATATTATTTATAGTTTTTCTAATTGGCGCCTGTGGTTCAACAGAAAAGAGAACGGCGCAAATTATAAAAAAATAGACGATGATGCTGAACGAAATGATGAGGCTGAGCCAGTTGGTATTCAGCGATTAGTAAGTGAATTGAGAAAAAATCCAAACTGATTTATAAATTCGATATTGTTTTAGTTTCGATTTGCAAATCGTACCGATTTTATCATGATGTCTGTCGCTTTGTTTTTGGTACTGGTGCAATCGATTTGTATTCTCTTCAGTCTAATTTTCTTTGGTATGCTGACGGGATTGTTTGCTAATCAGTCATTTGGTAATAAGTGTGATCAGCAACAAAATAACTTAACCGATCTTGTCAATAACAACTACACATATCATTCAAATATCGATGTTCATGTAGTAAAACGTGCCTCCTTGGACAAGTAATTCTTTGGAAACTTTCATTGAGTATTATGCATTTCATTTATTTTTCTTTCTTAATTTTCATCTTAGATTATCCACCAATAGTTATACAAATTTTTTGTCAACTCTACCTACGACGGTGACTCCATTTAGAGATAAGGTTATGAAAATAATTTATTGGGGTTTTAGTAAGTAGGATAAACTTAAAAATTTAATTATAATAAAAACTATACGTGTTCTCGCGTTTTTCTCTGTTCTTATAGTAATTGGCGCTATCGAATTTGTGGCCAGCTCGGTTGGATGCTTCATTTGGACCTTGAGTATGAAACGACAAATACAACGCATGACAATTGCTCTCTTTCGGTCATTTACTCAACGCGTATGTTATATATGTTTAAACTTAGAAAAGAAATTGTAGTCAAAGTTTAAGTACAGCCGTTTCTCATTGTTCTATACACTTATTACATTTGATGCTACATCTTTTTAAAAGATCTTCATCGTCGATATATTGTCTATTCTAACAAGTCTAGAAAAATAAACTGAAGTATCAAGTTAACAGCTTGGTATAGTTAAACACCTTTATATTGCTAAAAATACTACAACTGAAAGTGAAGATTCGTAGTAACATTACAAATTTATGTTCAATCTCACTTTCACTCATATATCATATACTTTCTTAGAAGTCCGCAGAAAAATATCAAGATTCTGATGTTTTTGAGGGCTATAGGATAACTGTTTATTTTGTTCTACAAAGTTATTTTAAGTGTAATAGACAATGAATTTGGAAATATGCTACCAGAAATCTTCTTTATTGATAGAACTTCAGAGGTTATGAAAAGCTATTTGCCATCTCAATATTGAATAGACACATATATACGGACGTTGTAATGAAAAGTTTCCAAATCTTACTTATTTGTTTCAATTATTTTCTAGCTATAGACAGGAGATAGGACCAATATACGAAATCTAGAATGATTTCAATTATTATTAAAAGGATAAGTGAGTATGACACTTTCAATATTTATCTATTGTAGGAGGTTCTCATCGAAGATTTCGAGTTTTCAAATATCTTGTTCTTTTGAATTTCATTTTCGAAGCCATCCTGATTTCATGGTTTTGTGTGTAGTACTCTGTATCAAAACGTTCAGACTATCTAGACTTCGTATCTCCGGAAAAGAAATATTTCATAATCCTCTTCGAATATCAATGATAATTCAACAAGAGTCTTCTTTGGAAAGAAACCAAAATTCACAGCTAGTATAATTTTGCTAGCTCAGAATCTTTTCATACAAATTTGCCTACACGAAACTATCTCATAGAAACAGTTCTAGATTTTTCAGATACGATTGATATCTAATATCCATGAGAAAAACAAAATCATATAAATCAAGGGGACATTTGGGAAGATTCACTCGATTGACCACAAATATATATGAATATTTGATATCCAATGGGTAGAGTCCAACCCAGGTCGAGCAATCCGACAGTAGGCACCTATCGGAACCCACCAGATCCGACTGGAATCCAACAGGATTTTATCGGATCCTGACAGATCTTACAGAATTATCGTTGGATTCCGGGTCGAGGAATCGATGTCGGATCCTCAGTGTCGGATTCCTATGAATTCCAAGGAAAAACCGTTGTATGTCATCGGAAGTTCATAGGATTCCGACACTGAGGATCCGACATCGATTTCTCGACCCGGAATCCAATAGAATTGTATCGGATTGTAGGATATTCCCAGGCTCCTATCGGATCCGATGTCGGATTAGTCGACCTGGAAAGAAAATCGAGTGCCGAATTATATTAGAAGTGAAGTGTAGGCTGTGGCAATATATCTTTATCATTCAGGATTAAATTACTGTCAATTTACTCATTTTTCAAGTAACAATAAAAGTCCTGGAAGATAAACATTGTCTGATAAAGTGAATACAAATTGATTAAACATTTTACTATTAGATGATTTAGAACATGAATTTGTACTAAAAATAAAATGTGTAGCAGAATTTTCTAAAACAAAAATTTTAATTTGTCGCTCGATTGAACTTAGGAAAAGCTATAGTGGTCGACATGGAAATGGGTTAATGCGAGTCGAATCGTAGTGAAACTATAAAATCCAATCCCATCTATCTGATTGTTTCTTTCTCTGTTTCTTTTTTCAGAAAATTTCTTACTTGGATACTACATCAGCTGCTGAACTTAATGGAAAACTATTTGAGTAAGTCTTCTTAATATTTTATATCCAATAACTTAGCCAGATTTCATAATTATAAAGCAACATCGAAAAGATCGAAAAAGGCATTGGTTTTGAATTATTAATTTTGGTTGCAACCTTATTGGGTTTTATTGTCTACATAGTAGCATCTTTTATTGTCGACTGGAAATTGACATTGATCATGCTATTACTGCTACCGTTGATCATTGGTAGTTCATATATTTTTTCAAAGGTATGATTTGTTTTTCAATAAACTAAAGCTATATTAATTAGTCAAGGTCATTGCTAGTGAAACCCTTAATGAATTGGTGACATACTCGAGAGCAGGAAAAATTGTTCAAGAAGTGTTCAGTTCATTGCGCACAGTTCTTTCTCTCAATGGCAGCAAATTTGAGCAAACCCGGTAAGCTAATATATAGAAATAATTATCGTATATAATATGATAAAATACTTCGATACTTCTTTTTAATTTAGATACGAAAAAGAACTAGAGACAACTCGTTGGAGTAGCATACGTCAAGGTGCAGTGCTTGGAATCTTTACCGGTTGGCTATCTCTAATGGCCTATTTAGTTTATGCAGTGGGTTTCATCTCCGGTTCGCTTCTTATATCACGAAACAGTAGTCGCAGCATCGATATTTCAGATATTCTTGTCGTAAGTCATTCATATAATCACTGGAAAAGAAAGGAATGAAACTACCACTAATATTTTAATGTAGATTGTTTCCATCTTTGCAGAGTCGTTTTCTTTCATCAGTTTTATTGGTCCTTTTTTTCAATCATATTCAGAAGCTCTAGGTGCAGCTGCACCCGTGTTCCGACTTATTGATGAGGTAATACGAATAAATTCAAATTTGATGCCAGTAGATATTGTTTGTATTGCTTACATGATATAGGGAAATGATGCAGCTATCAATGAAAGTGATGTATGGAGAGATGATACAGACTCAATTGTTAATATCAATGGTGATGTTGCATTTAACGACGTTAATTTTGTTTATCCAACCAGAAAAGATGCTCCGGTTTTGCATAATCTTTCTATTAGAGCACGTTCTGGTCAAACAACTGCTATCGTAGGTTCAAGTGGTTGTGGTAAATATTTTTCAAACAGAACAATCTTCATATTATCTTAGTTAGTTGAATTTACAATTGATTATAGGAAAAAGTACATGTTTATCACTCTTTCTTCGCTACTATGAGCCTTCATCTGGACAAATTACAATCGACGGCCGAGCAATCACAGAGTACGGTGTCAATGAGCTGCGAAAAAATATCGGAGTAGTCAGTCAAGAACCTGTATGTTAGTTTTGATTCCCTATTCTCCATTTCTGCGCAATTCACTTTTACTATAGATTTTATTTGGTACGACTATTTATGAGAATATTCGTTATGGTAAACTTAATGCAACACGTCTAGAAATTGAACAAGCAGCACAAGAAGCAAACGCACATGATTTTATCACGCGATTACCTTATGTTTGCGTCAAACATGCATCTATATATTCAGGTGTCTGAACTATTGTTTTTTTATTTAGAAATACGAAACACTTGTTGGTGAACGTGGTGTACAGTTGAGTGGCGGTGAAAAACAACGTATTGCTTTAGCTCGCGCTCTTGTTAAGCAGCCCACATTTCTTTTACTGGATGAAGCAACAAGTGCCCTAGATAGTGCCAGCGAAAAAATTGTTCAAGAAACACTCAATCAAGCATGCAAAGGTAGAAACAAATGGGAAAAAAAGAATCTTATCGAATAGATATAATAATCTGTTTAGGTCGTACAACTATTGTTATTGCCCATCGTTTGACCACAATTCAAAATGCTGATCAAATATATGTATTAGATAAAGGAACTGTGATTGAACAAGGTACTCATGAAACGTTAATAGCAAAAGATGGAGGTAAATATCAATCAATGGTCAAAAGTCAACAAGTAGAAAGAACCGATGAGGATAGTGATGATATGATGGCCATAGAAACAATAAGAAAACAATCTGAAAATTTTCTACGTATGTTTGTATTCTAATAGTAAATATTCTTGATTGTTGCACTTTCTATTTTTAGCATTCAGACATTCTCGTTTTATTAGCGGTAGTGTAACAACTGATGAGGACAAAGTAAGCATAATACTGGAAATCTTTTAACGTATCATTATTGATAAACTCTCCTTTAGGATAGTTCAAAGCCACTGAAGCAACGAAACGTCATTGTAAGACTCCTAGCAATGAATAAACCTGAATGGTTGACAATATTGGTTGCTTGTTTGGCATGTATAATTAATGGAGCAGCAGAACCATTTCTTGCATTCTTACTTGCCAAAATAGTTGAAGTGCGTGATACATTTTTTGTTAGAGTGGCGATAAAAGATTGACAATATACATCTTTCTTTTTCCGTTTTTTCCCATTGTACAGGCTTTCAAATATTGTTCAAACTCTCAGCTACGTCGCCATGTGTTGCTGATTAGTTTTATCTTCCTAGTTATGGGCGTTGTTTTAATGTTTATTCGATTCTGTCAGGTAAAACTACTACGTATGAATAGCATTGATGATTTATTTACTCTTTTTTTTTATAGTATACAGCTTTTGCCATCGCAGGATCGAAATTGACACAACGTATTCGTTCGAAAACGTTTACCTGTCTACTTCGTCAAGAAGTTGCTTATTTTGATCGACCTGAAAATAGTTCAGGTGCAATTTCTACTCGCCTTTCTTCTGATGCAGCAGCAATTCAGGAAATGTTGACTACACGATTAGGATCCGTTTGTGAAGTTCTCGCTTTGGTACTTTTTGGATTTATATTTGGATGGATAATAAATGCGGAATTAGCGTTAATCGCTATTTGTGCATTAGTAGTTCTATTTATAAGTCTCGGTGCAGAGGTGTCTGTACGTTTATGGCTCAGCGAAAAATGCGATCCCATTATTGAATCAGCGAGTAAGGTAAGTTCAATTTTATATTTTCTCGTGTTGTATTGATTTTAAAAAGACTCGCTTATTGTGAGTTTTGTTTTTGATAAATTATACAGTTTACCGTTATTCACTGTTTAACTTGTTGCAGCTTGTCGTTGAAGTTATTCATAACATGCGTACAATAAAACAACTATCAATAGAAAAAGAAGTGTTACGACAATATTCTGGGCTTATTAAAAAAGTTACCATGTTAGTGAATTAAATACTTTACTCGAATAAATCTTTAGTTCTTTTTCCTCTATAGATTGTCTTGGAAACCGCAAATTTTATTTTCAATGACATTTGGTTTATTATGGATATTAGAGATATACACTTTGGTATTTCTGTATTGGCGTGCTCTTGTACTTTACGAAAGAAAAGAAGTGACCAATCATGGTATAATAATGTAATTGCAATCACACTATAATAATTAAGAGGCAATATTTCATTATGATTTCAATTTTATTAGGGTCCTTGCGTTTGCTATCTTTTCATTGCAAGCATTGAAACTGATCGGGATGATGTAAGTCTCCATAGATCTATTTTGTTTGTTTCTCTGCTACTTCTTTTGCATTTTAGAGCTGAGCGAATCGCAGATTCAGTTTCAGCTGCTGAAACATTTTTTGACTTATTTGATCGAATACCAGTCATCGACAACGGATCTACCGAAGGGCAAGAATTGGTAAGAGAACAAAAAGATAATTAATTTCTTTCTATCGTCCATATGCCTTAAATATATTATATGGTTCGTTTAGCCTGATTTTCGAGGCGAGATTAAATTTGATGAAGTCAAATTTATCTATCCGACTCGGCCAACATCTACTATTCTCAATAAATTACAGTTGAATATCGAGCCTGGTAAGTGTAATAGTTTCCAATGTAACCCGTATTGTTTTCAATTTTCATTTTTTATTCAGGCCAACGTATAGCTGTTGTTGGTATGTTTCAATCAAATGCTTCTTTGAAAATTGTAGCTATGCAACGTTATTCGTATAGGTACATCCGGTTGTGGAAAATCGACTATTGTTCAATTGTTGGAACGATTCTATGATACTACAAGGGGTCAAATAGTTAGTATTTTTTAACATGTAATTTGAAGAATTAAATAAAATTTTGTCTATTCAATTTAGCTTCTTGATGGAATTGATATCCGAAATCTAAATATTCATTGGCTTCGTTCTCAATTCGGCTATGTTCATCAAGAACCTATTTTATTCGATTTAACGATTGCTGAAAATATATCATATGGCTTAGAAGATATTCCAAGACAAGACATTATCAATGCAGCACGCAGAGCCAATGTTCATCAGTTTATCGAACATTTGCCTCAGGTTAAAAAATAGATTAATATATAATGCATCCATCGTCACAGTAAATTATATTATTTTTTTCAAGGGATATGAAACAAGAGTAGGAATGAAAGGTAGCTTTTTGTCAGGCGGCGAGAAACAGCGTATTGCGATAGCTAGAGTTTTTCTTCGTCGACCGAAAGTTCTACTCTTAGACGAAGCTACAAGCGCCATGGATTCGCAAAATGAACAAGTACGTTCGTTTATTTGTTTGTATATTTATCAATTGAATATTCTTCTACATTTCAAAATTTTAGATTATACAAGAAGCTCTCGAAAAAGCCCACGAAGAAGATCCTAGTCTAACGTCACTCATTATTGCTCATCGTCTTTCAACTATTCGTTCGTGTAATTCGATTTGTGTGATTGAGCGAGGACGCATAATAGAAAGCGGTACACATGCAGAATTGGCACAACAACGTGGCCCTTACTTTCATATGCTTTCACAAAATCATTTACACTAAATATTAGTAAATGCTTTAAATAGTGAAAATCAATTATTTTTAAATATTTGAAAAACTTCAGTACATCAATCTTTTCAGTGCGCAGCTGATTCGACGATATGAAAGACTGTCGTTTATTTTCTTTGATGCCATATTTGTTGAAATAAATCTAATAGCACATATTTAGTACGCATCATCAATCTAGAAAAATATATCTCAATCGAGTAAACTAGCGTTTATATAATTTTATATGGACAATAGTTACTTTAGTGACCCAGGTGAATGAATCGGATAGGATTTCTGGATACAGATCTATTGTCGGTTCCGACGGAAAAAATCATTTTTTTATTCTCGACCAAATAAGCATTTTTAGCCATTAGAGCGCAAGGGTGATTTGCTAGAGTTGACTTCTGTTAAAATCTAACATCGGATCCGACTGTAGGTCGGTGTCCAGGAATCCCATAAGATTTCGTCAGTTTTATTGAAACACATATGGTATTCGGTATATTCACTGTCTGACCCTTGTTGGAATCTGATAGGATCCTACTGTCGGAATGACTCTCCTGGGGAGTGTAAAACTATAATTCTGTTCCATATAATTCTACGCTTATTTCATAGATCACCTCGTTTATAATAAAATCAGTAAATAATCTGATACCTGAGGTGTGGAATAAAACACCTGATCGCAAGACGTTTAAAAGGTGTATTTTATTTTTCAGAGGGGTTCAGTTTTGACTGACCTAAAACTCTAATTTCGTCCCTGTCTCAATTGCAAATTACAAACGTCTGAACAAACGGAAACTAATTTTGCTAAATATGAGTGACAGATGACTTCCTTAATCTGTAAAGTTTTCATTCGTGGACAAAAAGAATTGTAAAATCTGTATCTAATTTTTAATACAGTATATCGGCTCACAAAACTTCGCTGAACTTGCGTTTTCGATCATAGATGCTTTAGTTTATTTTATATACATGATTGCACATAGATATGATTTGTCTCGATATCTTATCGTTCAAAACTAGTTTCTAATTATGACACGAATGATAATAATAGCGTTCATGTTGACAAAGCGAATGCATATATAAGCAAGAATATATTAGCACTAAAAGAAAAACAATTACACATATTTGTCCAAATATTAATGAGACAAACAAAACAGATAAAAATAATTATTTCTTCCAGAGAAATTCGTATATTTACATATAATGCATTTCTATTTATTTTTTATTTTGCCTGACTAAGTATAACTCCCATACAAGAATATCGGTAGAAAATTTTGTTATGTGTCACTTTAAAATTTCATTTTTTACTTTTGTCCTCTCTGTCGACATAGAAACTTATAATATTGATACATTTGTAAAGTTGCACTACTCGAACGTGGCATCTGTCTATACCAAATAAATTGTAATGCTTCTACATATCCCAGAGCTTTGCCTCGAACATAAGCAATTGTAACATTTGAAAGAGCTTCATCCATTTGCATACCATTTAATGAACCAAATAGTTCACTTGGTCGTCCCTGATCTGTATGAAAGCGTCAACCAACAACAAGATATGAAGCATTCGGTGCATAAGGATTATCGATAAGACGTGTACCTGTATAAATTGCTACGCCACTAATACTTTCGTCAGAACTTAAAGCAAACTCTGATATGTAGGACGAATAACGATATGTTGCACGGCCATGTTGCATCGATCTATTATTCGAATAAAGAGAAGTTAGATAGTCAAGAGTATCCGACATCCAACCCGCGTTAATATTCACGATTCTATCAGTAAAAGTTAATTGACGGCCTTGAGCACCATTAAACGCATCAGCACCTGCACTATTCCCATAGATATTGCCTGATTTAATTAATAAAATGTCTAAAATTTAACAAAAGAAAATTGCTAATTTTCTCTCTCGTTCGGAAACTCTACCTGACATTGAATGTTTTGGTTTTGTCAAGAAAACCATGAGTATGATAAAAGTAAGGATGCTAACAATATTAAAACTAAATAGAACAAGTTGACAAATTGTTAAACGTGATTTAAAAGTTTGTTTCACACATATTAAATCTATTTTGAATCTTTTCTCTACAAATTTAATTCTTGATTTTGTCAGAAATAATTTGTTTTCATTAATTTGTTTTTGATCGAATGATATCATTGTTACCTGACTCGATGTAGAATGACGTTCTTTTGAATTGTTTGATAACATGAAGTTTGAATTATTTTCTACAATATTTTGATTCATTTTGAAAACGATTTTTTAATGTATGAATACAAACTTACTGTTATACGGGATTTTATTCTCTTCATTGTCATCAAGCAAATCTGAGACATTTGTCGTTGTAGTTTCACATCGATTTCTGTTATATTGAACTAATTTATGTTCTACAATATGAATTTAATAGAATTAGCTTGAATTCGTTTAACTAATTAAGACAAACCATTAAGTCGTTTAAGTGCTTTATGACAATTTATTTCATTAAGTGCATGAATTAAATAATTCAAATCTTGTTCACTGATCGTTGCTTGATCAAAAAGAGATTCAAGAAGACTCAGTGTACCACTGAGGGTAGGATCATCACGTAAATGTCTTGGCATGGTATCACCAAGAATAAAGTGAAGGCGTCGTCGATCATCATCAGAAAAATAATCTTGAAGTTTGAGTAGTAGAGTTCGAAAATCAAATTTTTCATCCATATAATCTTAAAATAATTAAAATCAAATTAGTTAGAGTTATGTTTTTATTCAAATCAACATCCTCTATTGCCGCGGGCCTGGATTTTAGTTTAATTTGGTTATTTTGACTAAAATAATAGTGCATTTAGATAATAAACTATGGTAACGAAAATCTGAAAAGTTTTTTAATATTACAAGTTTACTCACGAATACCTGAAGTATAGAGTAATACTCACGCAAATGATTTTTTTTACAAAATTAGAAAAAAACACGTCATACTTCATTACTGATAAAAAGAAGTCAATCTAAAATGTGAGGATGATTTATATTATGATAAGCTTTAATTAGTTTTCTTAACAATTTTTAGATGCTAATGTAAAAAAAAGTAGATGAATCAATTCGCTTTTCATATATAGGATACTCATTGACTTGGCGAAAAGCCTCTCTAGTTTCTTTTTTCGTACAATTGACGCTGATTGTTTATTTATTGATTCGCTGGATTAACTTTCAGACTATGATTAGTAGTAATATGAATCTTGATTTATCTATATATATATATAGATATAGATATATCTAATAGCATCCTCTAAAACCTTTTAGTTAGAAAGCAATATCATGGAAATAATGATTCAATTTAAATTAGCCCTAATCAGAAACGAAATAGAATGGGAGGTAGATTTTCCAAGATACGGGCGAATCAAATCGAATCGAAGTTTTATCATTCGCGTCGATCTCTAATTTTTATGATTATTCTTTTACGCTGTGTAAATTACATGAATCAAATAAATTCAAATGCATTATTCATATGTTAAGATCGATTTCGAACATAAGTTAATGCATAATAAAAAAAATACGGATCAGTTTCAATTCCATTTAATGAACGAAAGGATTCTATAAAATTGAAAAATCGGAAGTACAGCCTGAGTTTTAAAGTAAAAACCCAAATAAATTCTATTTTAGTTGCTGAGATAAACCAAAAACTCCATGTTTCACAAATTTATTGAGGTAAATACAATGAATTCCATTTGCCATTTGCAATCAATATCATGTAATGAAAATGTCCGCTTTAAAGCAATTCGTCAGACAAAAAATTCTTTTTTTTCTGTCTTTTACAGCTTTAATCCTGTTCTTTTTTATGCTTGAAGACCCAAAGCAAAATCAAGCAAAAGATTCATCTTTTTCATCGCAAAAAATATAAAATTCTTTGCATTTATTACATATTTGAGGAAGATAGGAGATAAATTGTCTCGTAAAGTTATATTATTGAACGAATGATTGTTCAAATCTATGAAGATTTCAATTTATGTGATTTAACTATCAATAAAAATCTGTTTTCGGAAGGCAAACCTATCAGTAATATTTTGACATGATAGTTACGGTAGCTCTCTCTGTATAACATAAAGCAGATAGACTGTTGATATTGTTGTTCAATGATGCTCTGATTTTATTAAAATAGGCTGATAAAAAATTCGTTTAGAAGTACTAAAGCATTTGTGTTGACCGTTTATTATATATTTTTTTTTATAACGAATGATTATCTTTGTTGCATGTAAAATAATAAAGATGCTATGAAAACTAGTCCGACTCATTGATATAAACTACTCACTACATCATCTTTTAAATAAGTGATGCAGCCGTTTGAATAACACAAATTACTAAGATAAGTATCGTTAAGTTTTATTGTTAAACAATTTTATATTTAAAATCAATACAATAAAATATTAAAATATTCATTTTTATTCTTTTTTTACAGAAATATTATTTTCTGCTGGAGCGGCTTGTGTAAAGAAAAATGTGGCAAGAAACGAAAGCAAAATAGCTATTTGAACAAATAAATGAGTTTGAAGCAAGAAGAGTGATTGAACTATAGTTAATCTCGGTAAAATCAACATTAAAATAAGTCGAATACGTTCATAATGAAGTGCATGTTTTCTATAGAATCAAAAAAAGGCAAATAAATGAAATCAAAAACAAATAAAAATAATTTACTTTTGATCGAAAATTGCACCGAAAGTCTTTAAAGTAAAAATTAAAATAATTGTATAAAACAGTAAAGCAGGAGTTGAATAATCCTGAAGGAAAGAAAAAGAACCATCAAAAATATACATGCCGAACTATTTGAAAATATGATTTACTTTTGAATATTTAAGCACTGCACTGTATTGTATTAAAACATATAGAAAATGTGAAAATGTATATATTGATAATTTGCTTGATACATTTGGATGATAAACGTGAACAGGAAATTTTACTTCTGGAAAATCAGTACTACCTAATCTTGGTAAACCTGGTTGCCAACCTGGACCTTTCCAAATAAGAGATAATTTATTTTCCCATCCTTCTACTTTGAAAAATTGTTTACAAATATATTCAAAATGACAAAACTATTTAAAAAAAAAGAAAATTTATTTCTATTCATATTAAATAAACTTTCAATTTACTTGTGTGTCTATGGGATCAAATGTGTTTATTGGATGTATAAGACCATAAGCTATCGGCTCATCGTTACGTTCAGCAGCAAATGTGCCAAATAGACGATCCCATACAATAAAAACGCCAGCATAATTTTTATCAATACAGTAAGGATTTCGTCCATGATGAACTCGATGATGACTTGGAGTATTTAATATATATTCAAATGGACCAAGATTTGATATAACATCAGTATGAATCCAAAACTGATATAGTAAATTCATTTGTGCATGAATTATAAATAATGGAGGTGGAACCATTAAGGCTAATGGCAAATAAAATATCCACGATACATACGCTTGCAAAGTAGCTTGTCGAAGTGCTGTTGATAAATTATAATTTTCTGCTGAATGATGTGTTTGATGAGAAGCCCAAAATAGATTGACCTCTAGATAAAAATTTAATGACAAAACGTGATTTAAAATTTTCCTATTTACCATGCGCCAGCCGATGAAACCAATAATAAGCTAAATCGATTCCGAGAAAAGTAACCCAATATGTTACTGGTGAATTCCATGATAATCTTGGGAGAATCTGAACATTATTATAAACCCACACGTATGCTGCCAATTCAATTGATTGAAAAAATAATCTTAAGTAATAGAATAAACAAAAAACAATAAGACTATTAGACAGCTTTGTTTTCTTTCATACTTAGGTATACGTGAAATGACACCAGCTGCTACTGAACCAAATGTATCGTTTAAACGTGGTACGGGTTTTCGTTGATACAAAAGTATAAAAAATTCTATTAATTGTAAAACAAAAAACATTTCAAGAGCCTAAAATAATTGAAAATGTGTTTTTTTCTATAAACAGATTGAAAATAATTTTTTGCTCGAATTAATTTACTTTGACAACATAATCTGGAACATCTTCCATTCGTTCAAAATAAGTTTCAGATGGCCAAAGTAAATAAAACATTGCTCGAAAAGAAACTAAGGCCGAAGCCATCTTTTTTTGCACTACTTATTGTTGTTTCAACACAAAAAAATGCACGAGACTTATGAAAATGTTTTGTATTTATTCATTGTATATAGGTGTTTTTGTCTTATCATATTTTTATCATATCGCAGAAATACGAAATACGACCCTTACTAAAGAATGAAAAAGAAAAAGAAAAAAGAACTTTATGACTTATAGTACGCGACTTTGATCTAGACACTGAAAACAGATTCGAAAGTACTTATAGTCAAGGGAATGTAGAAATTTTCAAAGTTTTTATCTTAAAAATTTTATTCTAACAAATATATGTTTTTTCGATTTTGTTATGTTGATCTAACATTCTATTGGTTTCAAACGACGTAATCATCAAAAAGAATAAATTTTATTTTGATGTCATCATTTTCCGATTCTATTAATTATTTGCAAATCCAACTGAAATTGAGGTCAACAGATGACAGATATCCCTTTCAAGCTATACAAACTAATGTGTCATTGACATACATTCAAATATCAGTTAGCGACCTCGTTGTGATATTTTACTTCACGAAAGAGTGATTAGAAAACGATTCACAAGCAACATCGAGCTCTTCCAACAATGACTCCTTTTTTTTGTAATTCATATTCAATGATGACTACATAATTAAAAATATTTCGAACATGTATATGTATCTATCCAGATCATTGATCAAAGTACCACAATAGAATATGGACATTTCGAACCCTTGATTAAATTGAGTAGTGATTTGACACAGTATGATAATAGTCTGTATTTGTTTCGACATTGATTACTCTATTAATCTCATAGCATAAAATAGTCACTGTTTTGGATCTGCTTGAAATTCGTTAGTTTCAATTTTTCATTGGTTGGTTGCTCAATATTTTTGCATGCTATATTGATCGGGAAGAAAACATAGTTCTGGAACATCTTTATATACAATTAGAGGAAATATTGATCGAGATTAATAATCAAATCTGTTGCTAATAATTTTATCCGAATTGAATTTAGGGCTGAATAGTCAACTGACACTTTTACACATGTCAATTTTAAGAGCTTACGTTTCAACTTCTGTAATTATATATGTACATTTTTTTGCACCAAATTATTACAGATAAAACTTTAAAGTAAATATATCTTTAGTAAACGAGAGTAGTGGTCAAAGTAATTCAATGTTGATCCATTATCAAATGAAAAACCATTTTTCTTCATATCAATTACCTCCTTTCAAACTCAAATATAGACATACATGTGAGATTAGAAGTGTTTTAAAACTGAAGTAAAAGTTTAATGGAGTTGAATGTATCTTTTCCAGAGAAATAGAAAACAAATGTTCGTATACTTTATCTTGATTTGCATTTTCATGAATTAAACTATCATGAGAACGTTCAGATTGAAAAATATACGTAAAAACAAACAACACTTGACCAAAATTAGTGATTATTATTGGGAAACGTGATTGAGTTTCTATTGAAAAGTTGCGATTCGTATTTATTTTATTTATAAAACACCTTCTATTGGTCACAATAGGTAAATATTCTGCTCAAATTAATGGCGATGTGTAACAAGTATTTATAGTATTATGAGTAAATTTCTTTCTAAAAATAATAAACAATAGTAATTGTTATAGAAACAAGAACACAGAAGAAAAAGTTCAATTTTAATGTAAAAATAAATTTTGAGAATAGATGACAAAAAATTCATCGCATGCGTTTCGATGGTATTGACGCTGGTCCATAAAGTTTTTCGGCACGTTTGAGAAAAGCAGATACCATTTGACGGACAACTTCGTCGAAAAACATGGTTGCTACTTTGGCATGCAGCAATGAACGAAATTCAAAGGATACCTGACAATTAAAAAATTATCAATTTAATTTCGAAGATACTATTTTTTTTTCTCAATGTCTGCAAATGAACATTGCCGACTTCATAGGTATGTTACCAATAGAAAAGTATCCAAATCTTTGCAATAAATGATTCCTATCAAGATCTGTCTCTATGTAAATTTCAACAAGAATTTTGGAAGTAGCAATTGCATTAAGAAAAAAAATCTCATGAAAATATTTTCAGTACAGTAGAATCTACATGATGAACATGGTACCGACAGAAAAAGTAACAATATTACTTACAATCTTTTCCTTATTCAATCTATAAAAAAAGTCTCTTGTATTCTAGAAAGAGAGAGAGAGAGAGAAATGTGAACATACATAAAAGTCCAGAACACATGATCGAGGTTGTTTTTCAGTACCGGGTAAAAATCGCCATTCTGTTATTAAATAATTGAATAAAGCACCATCAGTGCAAACCGACTGTAAAAAGAATCTTAGTGAACCAAATGGAATAAAATAAATCATACTTTGACTAATCCTGGTTTTTCATGAGTAACAACAGCAGTATACTGCTCTTTAAGTACTTGAAAACCAATTTCCATACGTGCTTTAAATAATTTCGGTTGTGTCGGTTTAAGTATTTCCGATCGAATACACCATGGAACAAATTCTCGGTATCGAGCCACGTCAACAACTACAGCATACATCTCATCGGATGTATAACTAGATAATTGAATAAAGAAAAAAAATGTTCAAATTAATTTATTATTGATGGAAACGTTTACCCTAATAAACGTTGTTCGGCATAGTGTTGTGTCTTATTTTTAGATGCAAAGGGAAATGAAGGCGTCGGTGGGTTAATTCCAAATAAAGTTCGATATTGGATACATGTCATAGACATGGGTCGTTGACGCAAGATAATATTCCACCCCATTGAAGCATGTAGAAACTATGAAATTCAATGGTCAACGATCTATGTTTGTACTATTGCAGTACTTATGATAGATGGATACGATATAGAAGCTGAATAGTAGTAAAAGCCGGACAGCCAATGAGCGAAATTCGATAGATTTCGCAAGATACTGATACGCTACACATCAAGTTATTTTCAAGTATAATTAAAGAATCAACGAAAACTTATTCAATACTCAATAGATTACTGTCTAAGCATATTTTAAAACATTATAAAAGACTGCAAAAATACATTAAGTAGACATTGTTTCTGATTTATTTCGTCTGTGATTTAGCCTCATTAGTAAACATTTTAACATTTCATATTGAGACGATCTACCCTAATGTCACCATGTATATTTGATAAAAAGTTAATTCCATATTGAAAACGTCGTAATATTTTATATTGTAATGCTTTTACATTTAATCTTATTTGATTTATTGTATGTTTTTATTTCAGAGACAACTGATCAAGATCTCTTCATTCTTCTATATTTCTTCTTAAGCAACATATGAAAATTCACACAATCAATATACTACACAATTGAATTTCCGTTCAATTCAAGAACTTTGTTTTTTTTACAGATGGGAATGAAACCCTATCTATGGTGCCTGCTGCGTCTATTGTATATGCATAGTAACATTCACATTAATCAATTCGAAGTTGAGATGAAGCACATCACCAACCTGTTTAGTTATTTCCACTCAACAAACCAGCCATAGTCATTGAATATGTAATGTGTATGTGCACTCGTGCTGTTTGATTTATATCAACGAGTATAAGCATTGAATGCATTGTAACGATGATATTGTGTGAGATGAAGAAGAAGAAGTTGAACAAAAAGAATAAAGAGACTGCTTTATATGCAACTTTTTGATAGTCCATATGCTCTTGTTCTTGAGAATTCAATATACGTATTAGATAACATAGGAAAAGTTCTTTTTTTTTTATTTCAATTCAATTCACTATACATAAAAGTAGTGACCAGAGGAAACTATTTATTTGTTGACAAGGTTGAACATTCAACAAAATGCTTTGTTAAGGCTTCTTTATTGGATTTTCTCTCTCTTCCGATACTTGTACTTTGTATGTCAAGCAGTCACGCCAAATACATACATTAAATTTTTTTTTGTATGATTCTTTTTTCTTCTCTCTTCTTCAATACATTATTCTAAAATGTAAACATGACATACCAATTGTAACTCTTTCTTTTCTCTCTCTCTCTCTCTCTCTCTCTCTTTTAGCAAAAAGAAAAGTTCTTTATTGATTAACTTGTATTTCTATGTAAATTTGTATTATACGTTTTTTTTTATGAATCATATTCATGTTAAACAATCATTTTTTTATTATTATTCTATCTAAACCTTTTCTTTGATATTTTCCTTTGCATAAATTTGTTCTAGAGAAATAATTTAAGGCGAATATTAACCCAAACATCAGATGAAAAAATAATTTATACTGTTTTTCTTTCATTCGTTCGTTCTCTGAACACAACCACTTCGATTTATGTTGCTCTCTCCTTATTGCAATAACAGAAATCCCACAAATACAAGAATAAGTTGCTAGTTGTCTCCTTTTGTTGAATGTTCTTTTTTTCTCTACAATTTCAAACAACCAACAGTCCAACTCTGTATTTAGATATAAATTTAACCAAGTAAAATGCTTGATCTTTGTCAACCAATTCAAGTCAATAATCTTTATGGTTCGTTAAAAATAAATACTAATGATAGTTTGTCGTGTATGAATCCTAGAAAATGGTATTTTTTCTATGATTATGGCTATGCATTATTCATTCGTATTATTAATATAACTCAATTACTATCAAATTCATTTGTATTTAAAATTTATTCAACTACAAATAAGCAAAACACACTTGTATATGATTCAACAAATGCTACAATTGTAAATAATGAGATTCAAATTGATCTGAACGATAAAAACTCTGGTGGTATACTAGTGGAATTAATGTCTAGTAATCATAGAAATATAGAAAAAACAACATTTATAATTGATTATGCTTTTCGAGGTAAAACTAAATTTAAAATATTTTATCATGCAAAATAAAACTTTGCATAATTAAGTTAAATCGGAATCACGGTTTGGACGGCAAACACTTCAAGATAATTCATCTTCCTCATCTTTCAATTCTTCTCAGCCAACATTCATTGCTTTAATGTGTGTTATTATTTTTCTTCTAATCTGCATTGTTGTGGTAATAACCATTATGTGCTATCGACATTATTCTCGTAAAAACGTTTCAAAACGACGACAAAGAATTGAAAATAAATTTCGAAATGTTTTAAATTATCAACAAGCCAGTGATCAAGCACATTTAGCTTCATCTATAACACCATCATCGGCTTCATCATATTCTCTTCCATCATCTCGACATCTATGTCCAGATAATCGTCCAATTTCAATTCAACAGAAACAGCAGCATCAACAAAATTCATCACTAGGTCAAAGTATAAGTACATTGCCATCGATGATTCCATCACGTCGTTTACAACAATCAATAATGGATGCTTATTTAAATGATTTTGATACAGTACAACCAGCAACAGCTGATTCAAAACAATTGAATTCATATTTATTTATTGATCTTCATTCAACATCGAGCGAAACATTTCCAGATGCTGTCGCTAAACAATATCCAAATGATAATACAACAACGAGCGGTTATGATACATCAACATGTGGCGAAGATCGAAATTATAAAAGTTCTTTTCAAAATCGTCGTCGTCGTCGTCTTCGTTATTATTATAATCAACGACAACGACGTCGCTCAACCATGGGATTAAAACGACCAAATGGTCCTCGTTTCTTAATGCGTGAAAGATCATTACCAAATGCACTTAGTAAACTTCCACAATTGCGACAACACTCACACTTATTTGATATGCGAGATCCAAATAGTAGTAGTACAACAAGTAATACTAATCAAGATCATATATCAACAAATTTTTCGATTACCACTGATGATTATGATGATAGTCATGCTTATCATGTTAATTCAGCTCGTATTATGAATACTATCGAAGAGGAGAAACCATCAGTGATTCATCAATCGTTGTCTCGGCAGCCGTATCTTTTTGAAATGGTTTCAACTTACTGTGGTGATGATAGTGACATGCCAAATTATGAACATATGCCTAGACCATTGAAATCTTCTTCTTTGACAGGTGACGGAATCGCCTATGTTAATGATTCCATTATTGTATAATATTTTGAGTTTGAATTTCTTTTGCTGATTTCATTGTTAATAATAAGAGATTCAGAAATAAAGAAAACAAAAGGTTTGGGATCACTAATAAACATTTCTTACTGAACACTACCAAAAACAACGAAAGCGAAATTTAGAAAACAAAGCTCTCAATACTCCAAGCACTGGTTGAATAAAGTTTTCATCGTTTTTATGAACGTGTTATTGATCGGAATCGAATTGCATCGAAAATCTGATCGACATATAACATATATCGTCTACCGATGAATAATAGAGCAGCACTAGACGAAAAACCAACTCCTAAACGAATCATTTCATTGTCAGGAAAAATCGACCGTACGATTGACATCACTAAAACAGTTCCCAAATTGAATATTGCTGAGCCATAAATACTAAAGAGAAAGTGAACTATTGTATATACATCATTTTATTTATTTCTTATATTTTACCTATATAATATACGATCAAATATATCAGCATTTCGTAAGTGTTTTGAGCTGTATAAATATATACCAACGCCAAGATGAGATCCCACCCAAAGTGAGTTAGCCACGGGTACATTCAGTTGTGGGCCAAGAATACTATTTTGAGCGAAATTTTAAAAAAAGATATTATTTGTACGCTTTTTTTTCTTATTTAGAATGCACAAACCGAGAAAAAGAATTCGGTGCAAGAACATGCGTTGAAAATCCGAAAAAGAATGGTGTAATTAATATAGGACCATATTTAACAAATAAAAGTTGCCGTCGAGCACTTGGAAGCGGTGGTTCCGACATGAAGAAATAATTCTCTAGATTTCAAAGAACAAAACAACAATGAATGCTATTGAAAAATCTGTGCTTTTTCACATGTCTTGTCTACGAAATCAACAACAAATGAAAGATATTGTTGACTTTTCTTGTTTTATTATGAAATCCGAAAGCGTCGCCACTGTTCTACATCACCAATAGGGGTTCTCATTGTCGACACAACTGGATCAATGATCTTCCAATCGACAATTTTTTTCTTTTCTCTCATTTTCTTCGTTTCTTCCGTTCTCTAGACGAAGGATTTCATATATTTTGTCTCATCACTTTTTTTGGGATAAGTTATTATTTGTTGCTTGTCCTTGGTTGTTTTTTGGTTTGAAGAAAACTTTGAATTTTCGTTTTTTCTTCCTTCGAAATACAGTAGTTATATTTGGATAGGTTCAACTTCCGATAAAGAATAAAATAATGGAAAACGTAGATGAGATAGATTGTCAAGTAAAAAAAAAATGAAGATTTTTAGTAGAGTAGTATCCATGTTTATATTCGTCTTTCTTCTTCTTTCCTTTTTTTTTCTTGTTGACTGTAAGAGGTCAATCATTTTTAGTTAAAACAAGCGCCGTGTGTGTCGTCATTTCAGCACAGCATGGTTGCTTTCGCGTTCTTTCTCATCTATCGCATCATCATCCATTTTCCATTTTGCACAATTGTAAGCATGTAACCGACCTAGACCATTCATAGTATCAGGCATTAATGCTTCTTCAATGTCTATCGACAATGACAAAGTAGCGTCTAGTTCTTGTTAAGCTGACTTATAATTTTCGACGTGAACATTTGACTGTGATATCAGATACTTCGATTTAAAAGTGAAATTTATGACATAGTTTCAAGTACATCGAATGAATTATGAATCGAAGATTTTGTATATAAATAATAACCTTAATGCTTATCGAAATTTATATCTGTAGTTTCACGAACTTGAAGCTTTCAGTCAAATATATCAAAGGATAGATATCATTTTGTGAGAATGATTTTCGGTTTGAACAATTTTTATGACAGTTGTAGATAAGTAATATTGTATTGATTTTTGTAAACGCTTGAGGAAACAAATCATTGCCTCATTTATATATACAGAACAGCTGATTCATTCGCAAATGTATCTTTTCTCTCTCACTTGATTAGTTCTTTCGAAACGTCTGATTGTCTATATTTGCTTCTTCTATGTGTAGCTACATACCACTGTTAGCTCTTTTACTACGAGCATCGCGACAATTACTGTTTTCTGCTGTTTTTAAATAAACAAATATATATATATCTATATATATCAATGATTAGATCCTCACCTTTGATTATTTTGCTATAGAAATATTTATGATGTTACCTTGTCTTTTTTTTTTATTCTGAATTTTTATGCTACGCTTTAGTGCTAAATATATTCGGTCGTCAATAAATTAGAAAGTAGAAGTCTGACATAGATGGCAACAATGATGGTCAAAAGAAATGAAGAGAGAGAGAGAGCGGAGAAGAAAAGAACGAAATTCCGTATCGTAGAATGATAGAAGGAGATAGAGGATTGTCATTACCCGTTTAGTTGTCTGGTAGCGGCCCCATTAAGTTGAAACTTGTCGATTACTCGTTTGCCGTTCTTGTACTGTACACATCTACTCAGAACACATCACAAATACAATTAAATAGTTATTCATTTCCGCTTTTTTTTCTTTCATACGATAGATCGTCTTTTATTGCAGTTTCATTTGTTTTAAATATATATATATATATATATATATACACTTATGTATCAAATATTTGATTTTAATATGTACAATTAAACAAGTTTGTAGATTAAATTCAATGTCACTCAAACGTCCTTTATCCCCTGAATCAAATATTAATTCTATCAATAATACCGTACGTCAATCAAAACGCTTAAAACTTCATTCAATAATACAAAAATTACAAAATGAAGAAGCTTGTTTAGTGTTATTAAAAAAATTACGAACAAATCAACAGTTATTAACACAGAAAATTAATAAAACGAAAACAGTAACAAATGGTTATCATCCCATAGAAAAACACAGTGTAATTCCATCAACGCAATCAGCGCAAATACAAACAACTAATATACCAACATCTTCACAACAGCAACTGCCATTGCCATTGCCAGCTGCAATACGTAAATCATCGAATTCTCCATTATTAACAAATATAACTAAAGCATCAAAAAGTCCTTCGTTTGAAGAATATAAAACTCAAGCTAAACTCGCCTTACGTAAACAGTTAGAACGTGATTTACTAAATATTTCATTGCCGAAACCCTCATTGCAAGATGTTGTCTTTGTTCCAAATGGAACAAGTCTCGAATTTCAACTATTTCTTGGTCTTGAAGATGCCATACAATGTTTAAATGAATTACAAGCTGGCCGTCAACGTGCCCCACAACGTTTTACTGATCAAGCATCTACTGATCAACCCTACGCATGTGATCAATGTGGAACAGATTTCACGATACGCTGGTGGAAACACATAAATCCAAAACTATCGAATGAAACCACAAGTGTTTTATGTGATCGTTGTAAAAAACAAGTTACTCGACGAGCATCAAAATCTGATCATTCAGCATTATTGAAAAATGTTTTTCTTTCTGCCATGCAACAAGAAAAAGAGATTGATAAACATTTTACTACATTGATGAAACAACACAAAACATCTTCTCGATTATCATCAACAAAACCAGTAACAACAAATACGCCTCAAATACATTCTAAATCAATTGCAACACCAAATATTCTTTCAAATAATCATCAATATCAAGCAATAAAAATGAAGAATTCTTCATCACAAAATTTTGCTTCGAAACTTCCACAACAGTTAGCATCAGGAATCAATGCAATGCGAAAATCGACCGTAAATGTTCAATTAGGAGCCAACAGTTCAACAATGAAACATGGAAATAATTCTCGAACACTACAAATTAACAAAACGCCTTTACCCATTCATCATCAACAACAATGTCGTTCTGTTAATACTGTACCACAATCCACAAAAATGAATCAATCATTTAAAGTGTCAAAAAATACTATGAAAAAAGAAACAATTATGGCGCCACCTCGTTCGGTACTTCAGCCTAATCCTGATCTTTTGCATGCATTTTTATCGTCGACTCTTTTTAAACCAGCAGCTACCAAACGATCAACGTTATCTAAATTTAAAAACAAATAAAACCTAGAATTTCCTTTTTATTTATCGCTATGCTCTGTTTTACAGTATTCATGTTTGATGCGCCAACAAAAAGATACCAACTACCTGACTGATGATTCGATTACATCAAAAGTATCGCTACAAACTGATTAGCGGAATCGTTATCACCAGCCCTGTGTATACATCGGAGGTGCTATCATAGACGTGAATTATTTCAACCATCGTGACATAAAAACTGAGGATGGGTCATTTTTTCAAGTTTTCTATATCCAAAATCATCACTCACCGATATTCTTGTCCAGTTTCTACATATGTTCTCTAAGATATTTTTCATGTGAAAATGTCTTTGTATTTAAGCGACTAAATTTAGTCGATATACTAGAAAAACAATGCCAACATCATATTCCGATGATCGATGAAATAAATAATTTTATACATAAATATTATTTGTAATCGATTGGCTCATAGTTTCACTGTAATTTGGTTTTCAATAATTGAAATACGAAGGGAAATCAAGATATCAATTCATGTCTTTAAATCCAAGGGATGCATATGCATTAATATGCCAATTAAATCATAAATCTAAAACTTAATCACTAAAGAAACTATATAACAGTTGTCAATACTTCAAGATATCCGTGATTTTTATAAAGAGTCCAATAGGGTATTTATGACTGCATTCAATTCTACTAGGAACATGTTTGCTATATAAAAATTAAAAGTTGTGCAGATGAAACCATGTGTATATTTATTTATTTTTTGATAACGTTGAATATCAATACAGTTTTTGGAGCATATAAAATTTGGATACCATTAGAGAGTTCATCTTTTTACTAGAGTATCTCGATATAAAATCTGGGGGCCTGAATTTGAGAATTTTCGATTGAGTCAACCAGCTTAATGGGCACTTCCCTGATGATATGTTTCGAAACAACTAACAGGCGTGAATTAAAATATTTTTTCAACCATGATGAGTATAATTCGAGGTTGGTTTTGAAAAAAGCTCAATCAGCCGGGTTTTAGTTCAAAAACTTTGAATCCTATGAAATTTCGATGCTGTTTCTGAGAAATAGTATCAAGGAATAATGATGTAATCTATCTTATTTAAGTCTCTAGACATGATTTATATGTTTTTTATATGATGTCCTCAAGCACATGTTAGAATGATCGTCGCAAGCAAATTTTTTATTTTCTTTGGGCGATTTATTTCTTTTTTGCTTTTTAGATTAAAAACAAATATTAAAAATATATTACTTGATCGAACGGACTCCGAATTGTACACACTTTATTATATTATCTATAGTTGTGTATTGAATATTCTTTTCTGATTGCCTCTACCACGAGAATGTGCAGTTGATAGCTCTTTTCCACCGTCTGCAATTAATTGTTACACGATGATATATAAAGAGGCAAATATTTCAAATGCATTGATTAAGAATACAGCAACATATATCTAGTATTCAATTAGAGATTAAGTATTACGATAGATAATGCATTGTTATCATTATATTATTCATAACCATGAATGTGTTCTATCAACATGTTGATGGTAGCTATTGTTAATTAATAAAATCTTGATATTAGTCATGATTATGTACTTAACAAAACAATTGTAGAAGAAAATGTCACTCTTTTTCTTTCTTTGTCCTTTTTTTTATATCTATTCTATATATTGTAAATTGGATTACTTGAATTAGAATAGTGATAATTAACTATTGAAAGAAATCATTTCGTTTGATGTATATTGAACAAACTAGATTAGAATAACGACTCGATTGAATTTCATTACTACGTCGGAACTAAAAGTAACTTTGTGTATAATTAGTTGTATTCAAGCATTTCAGATGCTTGAAATAATGGAAATAAAATGATATTTATTGAAAGTAAAATTAATTTCGTCATGATTCAGAATTCTTTTCTAGTCTATATCTAATCAAAATAGACTATTGTATCATTGAAGAACTATCTTGGCTATTGTATATTTTCGATCAAATTCTACTCAACGAATCATTTTAGAGCATGTCCTTACTTTAGTCACCGTAAAAAAAGATAACTTCAAAATTCGAAAAATATATCAACCAATCTCAGTAGTAGAATAAACCGTTTATTGTTTTACTTCATGCCTTACGTTAGTTATATTGCAATGTAAAGCACTTTGGTAGTCAAAAATCAATAGATTGTTACAAGTATTTTCAGTTCAAACGTATTTTAAATTGTAAAATGTCATTTTTCTACATATTCTATCGTTCTAATATTGAAAAACAATTTTCTGAATATTCTTTTTTATACATAAAACCTTTGTCGCCTTCAACAATGAAAGTGGTGTAATTAATTCATTTTTAGTTGCAACAGTATAGGTAGATAGCAAAAACAGATGTAGTTATTTCATTCACTCATTCATTCATTCCCATTGATACTGATATAGATCCAGAAAAGATTGAGTCAAATAAATGTTCTATTTCTTCAACATTATCACAATCATGACCACAATGTGCATGTTTCTCTTTGAAGAATATTTTTAATCCAATATTTAGTCATTATTACTAGAAACTGTTATTCCTGTAGATTCTCTTTGAGCGATTTCAATATATAATTAAATGAAATGTAAAAATCATAGTTTTCTATAATAGTAATAACTCTCAATGAGAATCGGATAACACCTGCATAACATTGTGAATATAAATCTTAGTATTTTCAGTTATGTATAGAGTTGGTAGAACATTATGTTTCCCAACTACTAAGTAGAAGTGTTCCATGTTTTATACATGGTTGATTTTTCAAATGAGCGCGTGAATAACATCATTCATGTAATGTTGCTGCGCGTTTCACTACAGATGTTACGAACTGTTATAAGAATCTTATTTACTGTTCGATGTATGACTTCGTCGAGTGTCGTAAATAGGGGCTGGACTATGTGACATTATGTCCCTACTTTCCTCAACAAAGTATAACTCAGTGTACAACACTTGAAACTTTCTTTTTGGCAATCTGAAAATGAATCTTCAGAAAAAAATCGATATTACAATTCACTAGAAATTGCTCTTGTTATTAAGACTTCCCGATATTTTCCGATTGATGTTTTTCTTTCGTCTTTACGAATTTCAAAAGCTTCTATTCAACTAAGTACACGATGAAATATTCAAATGATTTCAAATCACTCCTAAACAAATTTATCAACATGTCTTCCAAAAATTATATCAATGGAGCATTCAATTATCTGTGTGACCAGTTATCTATTTTCGGGCAGTCATAGTGAAATTCATCATTAAAGGAACTTTGTCTAAGCGTATCAACGCGTTTCTTAAGAATCATCTTCATGATTTACTATCCGAAATCAGTTGTAAAGGCATAGACGAGTGACTAGTATTCCATTACGACGTTATTTCAATTAACTTGAAGTTTGAAAATGACAATGATCCTTGGGAAATCGTCATTTTGAAGTCAGATTTTTAAGAGAATACGGTCCATCTTTTGTCAGACTCGCGTACTATGATCACGATATTTGTTTCTTGTGTTAGCACTAAGATTCTCTAAGATTCCATTCTTGATATCACGGAGAAACTTTAAAAGAAGAGTAAACTCACGAAGGCGTGCATCAATCATGTCGGTACGTATTTTGTATTCGAGTTATATTTTGAAAGCTGTATTCCTTTTGAATAATTTTCTTTGTAGAACACCATACTTTATAAATCTTATTATCAATGTACATTTTTATAATGAACTTTTTATTTACGTATAGCAATAATCCTTGGCATCTCAATCAGATTGTCTTTCCTATTTGTTTAGATCCTTCTTCTGCTAATATATTATCCATTGAACAAGACGAGTAATTACCGTAAGACACGTGTTCATAAACATTAGTAATCTTGCCATAAATCGATAACCGAATAGCACTACATCAATTTGAAGCTGCTCAATAATCTTCTTGTCAATACGAAGGTTTGAGAAGCTAGTGATAAAACTGAGGTATAACACGTAAGAAATGTTGTGTATTCGCAATTAGCTTTATATATATGAAAGACTAGATGTCACTCTTTGCAATTCTCATGACTGTTTTATTTGTGAATGTAAATATAAAAATAAATAAAAATTCTTTTTTTGTTTGCAAATTTTTATTTCACAATCAACAATAGTATCTCACAATATATCTTTAAATATAAATATATTGTGATAAAATGTTGACATATCATTTTAATTGGCTAAAACAAAGTGTATGTTTTTAGTCAACGAGCAAACGAGGATGAGTTAGTACAAGCGGAAGTTAGTTCAACTTATACATCGTAACAATCATCTTTAGAGTCTCACCAACTGTCATTGCCAGTCAATTTGTTCAACTATTTGTACTCTAGATTATCTGAGCAGGGATCGATACGTCTGTTTATGTGACATGCAATCTCTGTTGTATGCCATCCTAAATTTTTAACATTGTTCTTCCATGGGAAATCGACAAGGAGGTTCGCGTATGAAAACGCGTAGTAACAAATATAAATATCCAAATAATAATTACAGCAATGGAGTAACAATAAAAGGTGCTAATGGAAATAATAGTGAACAACCGTATTCAGCTCACACAAACGGCTATAATCAACATCCAAATTATCTCTATGGACAAAGTTATGGGCAACAAAATCTCGGGCATCAAATGAATAATTCACACATGCAAAATACAACGCATCCAATACAATATCAACAAAAAAATAAGGCCATGAATGGCAACAATCATTTGAGTAAAATTTAAAAAACAAAAAGGTTTCCATTGAACTCTTTTTTATTCACTAGACAAAGCTATTTATGTGGCAAATTATGACTTTAATGGAAATGCACAAACTGGTGAATTAAGTTTTGTCAAAGGAGATCAATTAAAAATTCTCGATCGAACTACGTACGTAATCTCGAATATCTTAAATGCATTCTTAATAAATCAACAATCGATCAAAATTCGATAGAATAAGAAAAATGTGACGCTCATAAATTTATAGATCATTCTTTTTTAAAAGTAGCTTTTAGTTATATTTTCATTTTCATTCAGTTTTAATGATTGGTGGCAAGCTAAAAATTTACGTACAAAACGTGAAGGTTTTGTACCTGCTAATTATATATCAGCTATTAATGATTTAACAGCATACGAGTGAGTAGCATACACACATGGGAATATCAAGAATAGTATAATCATTTTTAATTGAATTCAGATGGTATTTTACGGAAACAAATCGTCGTGATGCTGAACGATTTCTTGAACAACCACATAATGGTAAAGGTACATTTTTAATTCGTCCATCCGATTCGAATCAAGGTATTGTTGAAAAGATTTGAATATTTCCAATCAATATTTTTATTTTACTTCAAAAAACAAAAAGGTCAAGAATCATTATCCGTTTTGGATTTAAGTAAAGATAAACATTTTCATGTTAAACACTATCGTATACGTCGAACCAATCAAGGAATGTATTATATTAGTAGTAAAACTGTCTTTTCAGCTTTACAAGATCTGGTTGATCACTATCAAAGTAAATAGGCAAAAAAATAGTTTTTTTTTATTTGTATAGATATTAATTTCTGCGTGTGCTTTATTAAGATAATGCTGATGGTCTTTGTTGTTTATTAACGCGTCCTTGTCGAAAAATTGAACCAACAGTTCCAGCTGATCGTGGTGGTTTATTAGAATTAGATCGTTCACAACTTAAACGTATTGGACTAATTGGCAAAGGAAATTATGGTGAAGTTTATAAAGGCAATTATGGTCAGCGGGACGTTGCAATTAAATGTATGAAAACTGATGGTAAAAATCGACTATGCAACGTGGACAAATTTCTTGATGAAGCTAAAATCATGAAAGATCTTATACATAAAAATATTGTTTGTTTATATGGTGTTTGCACACGAGAAGAGCCAATATTTATTGTTACCGAATATTTAACGAATGGCTGTCTGCTTAATTATTTACGGGATGGACAAGGAAAAGATTTGAAATTTAAAACAATATTAGATTTTGCTGCACAAGTAAATATATAGGAAAAACTTGAATTTAGAAACGAAACAATGTGTTTTCTATTCAGATTGCAAATGGTATGGCATTTCTTGAGAAAAAACGTTATGTTCATTGTGATCTTGCTGGTATGTTTTATAAGATTATGAAATTTAAAGAAAACAATCTTGACTATTTTTATCAACGTAACGATATTTTAAATCTATATTCGTATAGGTGATAGAGATTAGTAAAAGAGAAAGTAATATCGTAAATGTATGACGTCAAATAGTTGACGATGTCTCGCAAAATTAAGGTTGTCCTCTTTCAAAGTTGTTGTGTTTCTCCAAAAAAAAACGAATATCGAAATTTGAGACAATTCTGTAATTGAATCGTCTGAAGTGTGTTCTTTAGAAAAGAGTATTATTTTGAGTTCTTTTTTTTTCGTCCTGAAGAGAAAGAAAAAGCACGGTTCTTCCCTTGAAAAAACGATTACACTTAAGAACAAGGTGATTTTGCATAAACAAGACACTTTGTAAGAGTAAGCCAGTCTTTTATTGATCAATTCCAAAGCAAATCATTATGATGTGAATACTTGTTCGATGATGGAATCGACTCTAAAGTCATATCATTAGAATAGAAGAAAAAAGTTTTGACAATGACAAAAATATAATATGTGACTGTTCTTTCTGAATGTCGCATGTTCACTATTAAAACATACACTTGTGTTAATATCAATTTTTTAAATTGTTATTCTATAGAAAATACTTGAAAAATCTTTTATTATATTTTTATGAGAACATGCGTTCGATAACACATTCGAAAGTTTAATGTGATAGCAGAACATGATGTTAAATAATTATTTGTAATTACAGTTGATGATTCACTTTGAAGAAAAACAAATTTCACAATAAATATCACAGTTGATTTTTTGTTTGGAAAAAAACTTATTTTAATTGAAATAGAAAATTTGCGATGTGTACAATAGATCTATTCGTGTCATTCTTGAAAATGAGATATAAGGTTGAATCAATTTTTCTTTCACCATAGATCCATGCACCACAAAATCTATATACTCTCGATGATGTCCTAGGTTAAATCAGTATCGTTGAAAAGCTACTTATTTATATATAATCACTATCCAAAGCCGTGATCAAGTTTTAAGCGTTAACAACGTTACTTAACAACATCTTATTAGTATGTGTAGGATTTCTTTAACATAAAATAAGAAAATATTTGTGGTTATCATGATCTTGAACCATAGACTAGAATAATTTATATTACTCTAGAAAGGCTTCTTCTCATGAAAGAACATTGTGATCTAAAGATACACTTCTAAAACATGCTAATTAAATGGTTACTTTTGAATTTTGTTTTTAGCTCGAAATATTCTTGTTGGTGAACTCGATGTAGTTAAAATAGCTGATTTTGGTTTGGCTAAAATTTTACAAGGTGGCCGTTTATTGGTCGATCGTGAATCTCAATTTCCTATAAAATGGACAGCACCCGAAGCAGCAACAAAAAAAGAATATACAACGAAATCTGATGTATGGAGTTTTGGTATTCTTCTTTATGAATTAATTACACATGGTTCAAATCCGTATCCTGGCATGTCAAACAATGAAGCATTGCAAGCAGTGCTAAATAATTATCGCATGCCAAAAGTAATTTTTATCTATTCTAATAATTCGTAATGATTATTTATTTATTTATTTAGCCAAACGATTGTCACGAACATTATTATCAAATAATGTGTTCTTGCTGGCAAGAAAATCCCGACAATCGTCCAACATTCGAAGCTCTTTATGTTCGTTTCGACGAATTTATGATTCAGGCAGAGCCAAGCTATCGGGAAGTAAGCTATCTAAAATTATTGTTTATTTCTTAATAATTCATAATGTGTTCTTCTCTTCATTTAGACGTGATTTAGTTGCGACGACAACTTATCTTTCCGCACCTATCAGATACATTTCTAAAACAAAGCCCGATAGCTTATCTGTATGCCTTATAATCGAGTTTTCTTTTTCTATCATTATTCTATTTCTTAAACATATCTCTATAACACTTTATGTTCTTATTTATGGCTCACTTCCATCTTATTATTTTTTTTATATCAACAGTGAACATATTCTTGCTCCAATATATCTTCACTTACTTTTCTTTTTGCTACTTCGCAAATTTGTTTCTCTTTTTGAATCTCGAACAGTTTACTAATGTTGAAAGAAAGGGAAAACGATAAATCAACATGTGTTGGATTCATTTGAATAATTCGATAGAAAATAATCGAGTTTCCTGGCACCTAATTTTTTTCTGTCTTTTTTTAAAAATGTATATGTCGTGAATTTAATAAAAATAAAGTGCGTGCAATCGTTCGAGACATGTTTATATAGAAATAACGAAATAAATTAAAAATCATTATACCTGCTTTGTTTTTGCAGATATAATGCTTGATGATACACGTCGTTTAAATTCATTTTTACGTAAAACACGTCGGGGACATGTTTTGAAAATAACACATGAACTCTATTTACGTACGGATATAACATGTGGATCACATGCGTGCCATCAATGTACAATTGATCAAAGAACTTTACTCGATAAACAGATGACTAATGGAAACAGTCTTGTTTCTTCTGGGCATTATCTAATTGTTGATACAAATATTATCTTACAACAAGTAAACAGAATTTTCAAATGAATTAAGAAAAGAAAATCTTCATTATCTTTTGTGTTTAGGTGGATGTACTTGAGGATCCGTTGTTTACAAATGTAATTGTACCACAAGTTGTGCTTGATGAAGTGAGACGAAAAAAACAATCATAACTAATTAGAAATCTACTATCGGTATTTTATTTTTTATTATAGGTACGACATAAAAGTTTAGCAATTTATAAACGAATACGAAGTATAATAGCAGTTCCAGAAAGAAAATTTTTTGTATTTATCAATGAATTCAATAAGTATGCATTCAGGAATAGGGCTGTATTGATAATCATAATTTTATTTGTTAGAAATACATTTGTTTTACGTAAACCTGGCGAAAGTCCAAATGATCGCAATGATAGAGCAATAAGAAAAATTGCACAATTCTATAATGAACATTTAAAACAACAAAGTAAAGAGAAAAGGATTTATTGTTATTTGAATAATTGAAAACGCATTTGTCGTAAAAATCTGACATAAAAAAAAAAGATTGATCTCGTTATTTTGAATTTCGGTCGAAGGTAATAATCTCTACCACACCCTCACCGTTTGCTTTTCGAATAAATTCAAGACTATCGAATCGAATATAATCTGAAAGTAGTCTTTCATTATGAAAATTAATTTGATATTTATACTATTTATTCGTACAAATTTTGAAAGATTCTAATCAGCATGGAATTAGAGCTTCAGCAAAAACTTTCCTTTCTCATAGCAATGTGAAACAGCTGAAAACCAAGCAACATTTATTCATAATAAGCACGTAATCAGACGAGTACAAAAATGTTTCTTGAGGTGAATCACGTTGTTTGAATAAATTAAAGTTTATGTAACACTCTTTCGCGTAGCTTAATTGTAAATGATGTACTACGTGCAAACATTCAACTTTCGTAATATCAATCTTAAGGACTTATGAAATCAATTTCTTTGAATGCCGCCTTCATACTTATGCACTAAGAAAATTTCATGAATTTATAAAAATTGATTTCAATTCGAAATAATAGTTAAGAGTTTTTTTCTATATTATGTTTTGTTTTCCTAGTTCCGATTGTTCTTCTTACTGATGATATAGCAAATCGTGATCTTTCTCGACAAGATGGCTTAATTGCTTTTTCTTGTAAGTAAATAAATTAACATCCATATGGAATGATAGTGTATGATCGATTTTAGTGAAGGAATATATATCGACTTTTAATCGTCCAGAATTATTAGATCGTCTTGTTCTAAAAGAAGAGTCATTTGATTTAGAAAAAGATCTTGGTAAACGAAAAGAAGTACGCATTTAAAACGAAGATCAATAGATAATCTATCGTTGCATTGCTGTCTTTTTTAACTAGATTATTTTTCCTGAACATGTATCTGTATCTGAAGTTCAACGTGGTATAAAATCTGGAAAATATTTACAAGGAACATTTCAAGCAAGTCGAGAAAACTACCTCGAAGCTAATGTATTCGTTCAAGATTCAGAAAAATATAATCAAGTAGGATTTGAAATCAAAACAATTATTTGAACATTATTTTTTTCTCGTATGCAGCTTTTCGTCCAAGGCTATCGAAATTTAAATCGTTCTGTTCATGATGATGTTGTTGCTGTAGAAATTTTACCCGAGCAAGAATGGGCCATACCATTTAGTTTAGTTATTGATGATAAAGATGATGATCAAGGTGATTTAGTTATTGAACAAGTAAAATCTTCGTTGTTTTTTAGTTTGAATTACGTAAAAAAAAGAATTTTTTATTTTCATTTTCTAGGAAGAAACTGGTCTTGTTGTTCAAGGTATATCATCAAAAAGAACTCCATCTTGTCGTGTTGTTGCAATAATCAAACGAAATTGGAGACAATATTGTGGCATTCTACAACAATCTTTACCTGGTGTAAGTCATTTTTTCTCTCTTTTACATTCATTAGCAGTAGAGTTTTGGTTTCATAGGCAAAATTTCATTTATTTTTACCACATGAACGACGTATACCTAAAGTTCGCATTGAAAGTCGTCAAGCTGAAGAATTAAAGAACAGTCGAGTTATGGTACAAATAGATCATTGGCCACGTTCGTCTAGATATCCACATGTGAGTATCGTAATTATTCACAATACAAGATCTGTGAACTTTATCTTCTTTTGTTTTCAAGGGTCATTTTATTAAAACACTTGGTAAACTTGGCGATAAAGAAACAGAAAATGAAGTTATTTTAGCTGAAAATGATATACTTCATCATGAATTTCCTGAAGCAGTACTTGATTGTTTACCAAAATTACCTTGGACAATTACTGAAGAAGTAGATTTATTCAAATTTGTTTTTATTTTAAATAATTTTCATTCTTCAACTGTGCAAAGGATCTTGCTAATCGTGTTGATTTACGTGATTTTTGTATCGTTAGTATTGATCCACCCGGTTGTACTGATATTGATGATGCATTACATTGTCGTTTACTAGAAAATGGAAATTATGAAGTAAGAATCAACGAAAGATCTTTGTTTATTGCTAAAAGTATTGATTTAAAAAAACTTTTTAGTGTGGTGTTCATATTGCTGATGTAACACATTTTGTACGGCCAAATACAGCTTTAGACTTAGAAGCACGTGAACGTGGCACAACAGTCTATTTGACTGATCGACGTATTGATATGTTACCGGTATTACTCAGTGGAAATCTCTGTTCTTTACGTGGTGGTGAAGAACGGTAAGTTATTTGAGACATAGAAAAATATCTTACTGAAAAAAAGATAACTTTTCCGTATTAAATTAATACAAGAATTGAAAGTTAGATGTTGAGGAAAAGAAAAGTCTTTGCGAATGAGTTTATTTGACTGTGCTTTATTCGAATAGAAAATCAAAGTTTTACAACGCTCTTGCATATGCGGGTACTACCATATTTTTGTTATTTGTAAGTGAGACGGTGCACTTTGTTTTAATTTCGAAATATAGGCGAGTTCAATTATAGAAAAATGAAATCGAAAAGACACGTTTTCTACTGTTCATCAGGCATTCTCAAGTTCTGTATATGATTTCGTTAAGAAATATTCAGCTTTAAAAACCTATCTACTTGTCTGCGAGAAAAGGCTGCGAATTCTTTCGTGTTAGAGTTGCATATTTTGTTTTGTAATAGAACACTACATAGAATATTCGAAGGTCTCATTTTATTGAATAAAATGTCATCTATTCAAATATGTTGTTCAAAAATCAATTCTAAATTTATTCTGCACATCTTGGTAGCAAAATGCTGAACTCAGATGATGCCTTTGAACCTTTTATGAAATTATTTACAAAAGCCTTCTCGATCTACCTATGCAACTTTCAAATTAATCTAGCATTCCCGATAGGTCTAATTCTACAACACTTTGATATTTTTCTTCTTTAGTAATGCGTAGAATTTTATTTGATTCGTTTGCACTTTTCTCTGTTTAGTTTTGCATTTTCCGTTCGATGGGAGATAACAACCGATGCAAAAATAGTCAATACAATATTCCATAAATCGATTATCAAAAGTAAAGTATGTATAATTTGTACAAAATATTATTATGATGTATTTGTAAAAACAAATTATATTAAATAGTCGGCAATGACATATGAGCAAGCTCAAACAATCAAAGATGATTCTGGTATGAATGATGAAATAGCTCTTAGTTTAAGACGTCTCCATTCAATTGCTGCTCAACTACGTCAGACACGTCTTGATCGAGGTGCACTAGTACTCGAATCATCGGAAGTTCGATTTCAACTCGATACTGAAACACATGATCCGCTAAGTGTAGTAAACAAAGAATTAAGGTAATTTCACGTGTTTGCCTGTTTTGTATTCATCTACATAACATTTCCATCTTTTTGTTTTCAATAGAGAAACAAATTGGCTCGTTGAAGAATTTATGTTGCTAGCAAATATAAGTGTTGCTGAAAAAATTTATGAATTATTTCCTGATTGTGCATGTTTACGTAAGCATCCTGCACCACCCATTTCAAATTTTGATCCACTTGTCAAAGCAGCTGAAACAAAAGTAAATTATTTTTATTCTATTACATGAAAATACTATGACATTTTGTTTTTCTTTCCTTGAAGGGTTTTCAAGTAAAAGCAAATACAGGAAAAGAACTAGCTGATTCACTGGATGGAGCCGTTTTACTTGCTCATCCATATTTCAATACTATGCTTCGTATGCTTGCAACACGTTGTATGATGCAAGCCGTTTACTTTTGTAGTGGATTTGAATCCGATATGAAAAGTTTTGAACACTACGGTTTAGCTACACCAATTTATACTCATTTTACATCACCTATTCGACGGTAAAAAAAACTGAACGCTTCATATCGTTACTTATGTTGATGTACGGTATTTCTAGATATGCTGATGTACTTGTTCATCGATTGTTAGCAGCCGGTATTAATGCAGATGCAACATTTCCGGATCTACTTAATAAACGTGTTCTACAACAAATATGTAATAATTTAAATTATCGTCATCGTATGGCTCAATATGCAGCACGTGCATCGGTAGATTTACATACTCAAGTATGTTTTCTTTTTTTTTTAAACTGTAGCGATTAGTTTCGAGTATGAAATTTTTTAGTTATTCTTCAAAAATATGAATACCGATGAGGATGGTTATGTATTCGCTGTACGAAAAAATGCTTTACAAATATTATTACCTCGATATGGATTAGAAACAACATTATTTTTAAGAGATAAAGATGGAAAATCAATTGGCGAATTTAATGAAGAGGTAAAATTCGAAAAAAATAAAAAAATAGTTTATCTATGCTTTGAGAGAGAAAATCGGTAAAACCAGGCACATAGTACCTCATAATTCGGTCTACGTTATGATGAAAAGAATTTAGAGTGTTTCGTGCAAAAAAAGATCTAACAGCAATGGGAATAGTATAACGAGAATAGTTTCAACTGCATTTCTCATTTCACGATCGTGACGCGTGTAACCATAAGAACATTGCACATGGTCGAAGATATCATAGCAGTGCTACTATGCCATATGATTTGGAAACGAGAGCCTGCGCAATATCTCCTCAAAATGTTCCCTTCCTGACGCCTGACATTTTTAATGTTTTTACGAAATAGATTCGTCATGTAAACAAAACAAAAAATTGCCTTTTCAGAATTTAATTTGTTTTTTGTGTCAAAAAGAATGCGAATGAGGTCAAAGAAAAAAAGCACATTACAGCGAAAAGAAAAGAGAATCAAATTCTATTTTTTATGATAGGTTATTAAAAGGGATGGAAGATAAATCAACTTTCAAAACTATGGTTTATGGCCGTCGGCATATTTTAAATTTAACGAATCAATATTTTAGAATAGGATACGAGAAATGTAGTCCAATATATAGACAGATAGAAACGATTTTTGTTTCACTAAAATGTTTTGATCAAATATTTTATTAACTATTTGATAAATCGATTATTCTAAACTAAAAATTTGCAGTCGGTTCTAGCAAGTATTTATCCACTGAGGTTTTTCGATTAAGATCCAATAACGGTGCACTGTCCAATTTATTTTACTTCTATTAATAAATATGTATATGTTTACCAATTGTTTTCTTCCCCTCCCTGTGGAATGTGTGATTGAGATAAAGAATAACACAACACAGCCTCAGTGGACTTAATCTTGTCATTAAATCACAATCACGAGAAAACTGCACATATATATTTATGTATGAATTCTCTAAGCTTACTGTATAGTAATACCAACTTGTGTCATACTCATAATATTCTTGCATTGTAAATTAATATTATTTAATTATAAGAAATTTCATTGAACTGCATTCGTCTGAAAATTTACATATTTTTCATTAAATTCAGCATAACAAAATTGTCCTTGGATTTCTTTTTCTCAGCTCATTACATTTTCTATTTGATAAAATCAATCAAGGACGTTTGTGCTCTTTAACAATTATCTATTTTGATTATTTTAGGAAGCCACACAAACAATAAATAATCTCACAATACATATGTTCGATCCAGTGACTGTGCAAATCAGTGTCGATACTTATAATATTCAACGGCAACGTATACAAATTCATCTGGTTAAACCGTTTATAGAAGGTTTCAGTGTTTCAGCTATTGTTAAAAATAAAACAACAATAGACGAAGTCGATAATACTATAACAACACCTGTTAAACGTCTTAAAGTCAAATCATCTAAATAAAGTTCATGTTTTTTTTGGTTCTTATGTGATTTAGAAAGTCAAAAAAAAATAAAGGTGTGTTTTTTGTGTTTTTTTCTTTCTTTCTTTCTTTTGAAATAGGATGTTGACTAGATATTGCATATCCATTTATATATATAGTATATATATATATATTGTTCATTCGGTAGCAGTTAGTTCAGCTGTTGGTGTATGACGTAAAATACTTCGTGGTCGATTAACATATTTCGTTAAAATTGGCATTTCAAGTACAGTTGTTTGTTTTTGTGGTATAGATGATTTCGATGTAGTAGGGCGTCCATTTGAATTCTATAATAGGGAAATAGTTTTTATTGTATCTACTGGATAGTCTTCAAAATGTTGTGACAATGTAGGTGTAGTGTGTATGATGTGCTGTTTCGGTAACTGTGATGAAAATGAAAGCAGTGGTGCTGGTTGTGCTAGTTGTAGTGGTGGTGATGGTAATGTAGGTGCGTGATTTAGTGTGCTTAAGCTTCGTGTATATAAAAGTACCTCAGAACCTAGCATTGATTTATTATCAGATCGACCTGGTGTCCAAGATGCTGATTGCGGAACAGGACGAGTAATAAGCGTTGATCCTTTAACAATACGTTTTCTTATTTCACGTAAATCAAGGGATGTTTGAGTCTTTTGAAGTTGTTGATCTTTTGCATGGAATCTTGCAGCAGCAACATTAGTAGTAGTAGTCATAGTTGATGTTGTTGTCATTATTGTTGATGAAGGTAGGTGTCGAGGTATGTGTTTTGCTCGTTCAGCATTAATTTCATAACGAACATAAGCTTGAGCAAGATTGTAATCGATAAGTGGCTTTTTAAATGGATCTGTATTATGATCATCATGAATTTCATGATTGATACCAGGTATCTTTTTAGCTTCTTTATACGCTAAACCTTTATAGACAAATTTTGATTTTGGTATTGGTCGTATATTTGGTAATACTTGTCGAGTATAACCTGTTGAATCTTGTAACGTTTGTTCTAGTTGAAATGCTTGTAATTCTTCAATAGCATATTGACTTCGTTTTGATATTGGTTTTATTTGAACAGGTGCACAAGTAACAACGGATCGCCACATTTTCCCGTGTTGTTCTTTATTTTCTCCGTTATTTTCTTCGCTATTTTCTTCGCCTTCAATAAATGTTGCAAGCGTATTGTTTCTCAACTGAGTTTCATCGGATGTTGTTCGAGCAAATGGTTTTTGATTCGTTCCTGAATGTTCACTTGTACTTTTATTTTTGCTTGTGGAAGTTTTATATGGAGCCGATTTTTTATTTCTATACGCTGATAAAACTGTACGAGATCGTTCGAGTATTTTTGCTGATGTCGCAATTGTTCGAGCAATTGATTTACGAGGCTTTGTTGTTGGTGAAATAATACGATCAGTTTCAAATTGTTGAACTTGAATTGGTGAAAAATATACGTGTCCGTTATAACCTCGCCAAACCTAGAAAATAATTTTTTTTGAAAATTTCAGATTTTATTTGAAAAGAAAGAATAAAAATGATGATGAATAATTCTGGTGTAATGGGACAACAAGTTCCTCCATCGAATCAAGTTCAACCACAAGCTCAAACTCAACAGCAAACAGCAACATCTCAAATTATACCCGGTGGTATTAATACAGCAATGAATTTGCAAGCACGTCAAAATCAAAATGATGATATTTTAGCACGTTGTCTCGTTCATACTCAACGTCTTCGTGAAAATCTTCAGGCTTTACTTAACACAACGAAACAAGCAGCAAATATTGAAACTGATGAACAAACATCATCATCGGCAGCTAATCTTTCGACGAATTCATCTCTAAGAAATAATATTGATCGTAAACTATGTGACATGAGTGTTTCACTCGATCAACTTTTCTCCTCGCTCGATCAATATGATTTTAAAGCATTACAAGGTCAACAACTATTAGTCAATCATTATAATGAATTATCCTATGAAAAACAGGGCACACTAATGGATGAATGGACTTCAAATATCAAATGGGCAGATAAACTTGCCGAAATATCTTCATCAGTTCATCCAAGAAGTCAACTTTATCGTCGAAGTCATTATCGAGCTTTAAATACAAATGTTCGTTCGCGCATTGATGGACCATCATCAGCTTTGATTGAACGTATAATTACACAATTTGAAGCTTCACAAGCACAGCAACAACAACAACAATCATTACCTAAAGATTATTCGATTATTGTTCAACGCTTATCAGATCATTTACATATTATTGAATTGTGCTTATTTCGATCAGGTTTAGATATTTATTTATATGTACGACATTTTACTGTTGAACATGTTATTGTTAAACCATTAAATGAAAAAAAAATATTTTCAACCAATTTAAATAATAAATCAACAACAAATTGTTGCGCTTTAGAATTAATTGCTGGACATATACGTGCAGCTGCCGTTTATTATACACAATTAAATATGCAAGCTGATCAAGCATTCATAAAATTATTAGCCTATATATTGAAATATCAAGGATTACACAATCAAAAATGTGTTAATTGTCAAAAGCATCTGTTAAATGGTTTACAACCAACATGGAGAGATTTTAAAACATTTGAATCTTTTCATGAAGAATGTTTAAATTAGAATTAAAGAAGAAGAAAAACCTACGAAGAAGATTTATTTCATAAGATACTTTTTTAAAAATTTAAGATTCTTACCTTGTGAATGTTGTAAGCGAGAAAGAGAGAGAGAAAAAATCAAAATCAAAACAAGAATATGTTGTGTTTCATAGAGATTATTCGATTTTTTTTCTTGTATATGCATATTTTTTTTTCCATTGTTTGTATATAATATGAAAAAAATAGAGAAAAGCAAGGTGTATGCATGCGATTGATTGTCGTCTCTATATAAATTTACACTTGAATGTAAATTGATTTTTCTGTTCTTATCGATTGACTGCCTACACTAACAATGCCACTGGTCAACTCGTCAATTCAACATATTAACATAGGCGACAAACAACAATAGGGAAGAAAATGCAAAAAGAATAAAATGGATACTAACTCGAAGTGGTTCCATGGGAATAGGCCGCTTCTGTTCAAGGTAATAAAATCGAGGGTGAAGAAAACCAAAGCCAGGCGGAGGATCACTTGATCCAAGTACAGCATTAACATCATGATCAAGTTTATTTTGACGTGGACTCTCTAATTTTTCATGAACAACTGTAGCATAATCATATACTGCTCGTGGAATAAATGTTTGTAGATGTTCACCAACAGCAGATGGTGATGGATCATTGTGTGACCTTCGTTGTTACAAATATTTTCATTATTCAGAAAGAAAGAAAGGAAGGAAGAATGAAAAAGAAAAAAAGTAAATAAATCAATTTTAATTACATTTTATCTTGAAGATTATCATTTGCCGTAGTTGGTATTAATATTGATGAGGTATCTTGTACTTGTTTGCTATTTAATATTTCTTCTATTTCATGATTTGCTATGGGCGAATCTTCCGAGTCAGTTGAGGATTTAACATCGATATCAATGTCATCTTCATAGTCATTTATGATAATTGATTTCAATTGTTTTTCATCAGGCAATGTCGTTAGAAATGTTTGACCGAGGGTTTCCATGATTCTAGACGAAAATTTTCAAACAATTAATTTTTTTTATTTAATTCTAAATAAAAATTTAAGATTCAATTTCTTACATGTTTCGTCAGTTAGAACACATTTATATATTGAATAAAGAAAGAAATTGAAAACATTTCGTTTGCATTTTTTTTCGGCGTCAAACAAAATGAGAGCGTCGAGAGAAAAAATTGTAACGTTTATTTTATGCATACATACTTCTACTTTTTTTTAAATGTGTCTCATTGACTTACTCAAGTAAATAGTAAAAAAAGAAATATATATATACAACGAATATCAACGTAAAATAAGTATTGTCATACATTCGAGTTTTTCCATATTTTGTTTTTCTTTTGCTAATACATAGTATCAAAGTGTTGTTATTTATAATTAAGTTTAATAATGTAAACAAATATTTGTACTAAAAACAACAATTTATAAATAAGATGCATTGCTCTATTTCATTGCGCGGATTCTCTTTAACTTGAAAAACTCATTTTTCTTTAAATTCGTTGAATATTCTGTAACAGCACATAGATTTTGATAATCTTGTAAAATTGATGAATCCCAGCAACAATAGATGAGCTTCATCGTGAGCGAGAATATACATATATATATATATTAATTAATTTGTTTTCTTTTTTTTTTTTATTAAAGCCATAATACATGCACACCGAATACATTTCATCAAACAAAACTTCTATAGAAGATGAGACTCATAATCCTCTTTCTTTTGTAAAAAAAACGAGAAGTTTTCTTTTTTTTATGAACTTTCTCTCGTAACAACTATTATTAGAACTTTTGTTTTAGTATAACTTTCAGGAAAAAAACGGAAGAGTCTATTTTATTAATCATAGCCAAGTACTTCTTTTGATACACGTTTTTTATGTTGATCACCAAATCGCGTTTGTAAACTTTGAATCTCTTGTCCTACATTACTTTGTAAACGCCAGCCATAATCATGACCATGAGAATTAGGAACCTAAATATATATATAAAAACCATTTGAAAATTTTCTATTCAAATATATATGTATTCGAACCAACCTTATCCGAAAAACGTGTTGAATTTTCTACTGGAGGTTTTTTTGGTTTAATATTTCCCTAAACCATAGCAACGGTTTTCGTTTAATTTAATGAAATCAGAAGAAGAAATACTTTAGGATCATAATCAGCTATCCAACCATGGGTTTGTTCCCATTGTTTTCGAGTTGTTTCTTCTTTAGAAACACTTTCAATCCAAATCTGTGCTAAATCCCATGGGCTGAATGCTGCGTTATCTGATTTTTTTGAACCTGCTCCGCCAGTAGCTGCTGGTGGTGCTCGTGATGGAGCCGGTGGGACAGCTGGTTCAGTTCGGTTTCTAGATTTAATTGATTAGAAAATAAAATGTTTATTAAATTAACTAAGGAAAAAAAGCGTTGTTCTACCCTTTTCGAAGTAAATTGGCCATGACTACACGCAGTCTCTATGTTTCTTTCAATAATATAAACACACAAAATTTCTTTTTTTTTCTTTCTCCTACTACACATCTCAAGTCTCTCCTCTTCAAACAACTTGAGAAGAGAAAAGAAAAATTTTACTTTATTTTTTTTATTAATAAAATGCCAACATGTCCATCAAAAAAGACTAATGCATATATTTATGCAGCAGACTAATTAAAACAATAATTGAAAATCCACCAAAAATCAACAGACTGTTAGCAAATGGATAAAACGTTTTTTTCATCAGATCACTATGAATCATATCAATAAATGTTATATAAAGGAATGTTCCAGCGCTAAAACATTGTAAAGTACCATTGAGCAGACTAAACCCAGATGATTCCGAAGTGATAAGTAAACTAGCAAGTACACCGAGAGGTCCCATCAAACTCCAGATAAACATAGCACAGAACACTCGAATATAAGTTTCATTATCAACTAAAAGACGAAGTGTTACGGAAAATGCAATTAAAGACATATGAAAACATATGGCAGCTACTACAAGCCACAATGTCATTGCGTCTTTCGTTTGTCCACCAATGATAATCCCATCTAAAACAAATGATCTACTTCAAAGACAAATAAAGATTTAATGACATACCAAAAAAATTATGAGTACCGAGAGCAAAAACCAGTGCAATGAGACGTGTTATACGATTATCGTGATTTGATTCCTTCGATGAATTTAGAATTTCTTCTTTTTCACTACTAGCTTGTCGTTTGAATGCATATAATTCATATAAATTAAATAAATCTTGAATAATACATATAAGAAAAAAGCCTAAACCAATAAATAAATAACCCATGCTCATCGTATGCCATCGATGAGCAAATAGTTCAAGGGAATCAGGAAGGATCATCATTAAAAGAGTACCTGATTGATAGAACATGATATGAAAAAAATGGAGAAATAAAAAAGAAGCATGATTCATTTACCTAAAAGTATGCCACTTGTTAGACAAGAAATGATATGTTGAGTGGTAGAGAGGAAATTTACATTTCGCTCACGTAGAACTCGTTGTAAGCATATTCCAATTAATGTCATGATTAAATTCGATGCCAGTAAAATGCCCATTGAGATACATTTTTCCTCTACCAAGCGCATCTTGTTTAAATAAAATCTGTACTGCTTCGCTGTAACGTGCTAATTTTTCTTTTCTTTTTTTTTCTTCAATATGTCGTTCAAGCATAGCCAATAACCACTTTTGTTTCTTTTGAAGTCAATACAATCACAAATCTATGAAAAACTAGTGAGACAAAAATGTGATTAACAATTTAGTTCTGAATAAAGACATCCCGTGCTTTCGTTTTCATTGATACAATCCACGACAATAAAATATTTTTCTAATTGTTAAAACAGCTGGTGTATTTTGTTCTTTTTGCAATTTTTGATAATTTACAATATTCTATGGATATTAGTTCTCTGGTTTCTAAATGACTTTGTTCTTTTACTCGATGATAGAAAGAACGAATAAAAACGATGCAATGCATTCTACTATTTCATTAACTTAAGATAGCGAAACGAAGGTCAATTTGTCGCCCACGAGTCCTAAATTAAGGAACAAAAATATTTTCAAATATACATTTAAACGTGCTAGTCATAGTTTCATTTGGATATTTTCCTAAGTATATTCTGATATGTTTTGTAGGTAAAATAAAAAATTATATATTAGAAAGAATATTGTACGCAACATTTTGAAATGGTTCTCAGACGTAAAGGTTGTCGTTTGTTTTTTGCGAAAGTCTTTTGCACACTTCTAAAAATTAAAGTAACCGGTAGTTGTCTTTCTAAATTAATGTAACAGCTCTTAGATGACTTGAAAAACGTGCTCATAAACTGTTATCTACCTAAAAACAGTGTTTAATTAATCTAGTGAAGCACTAACAGATCGACGACAATGATATCTGTCGTTGATATGGTGTTGCTTACTAATAATTTGACATACAATATAGCCATATTATGAGTTATGCAGCAATTCATGAACTTTGTTTCTAATAGAAATGTTCCAAAAGTCGATTTATGAACTGATTGTTTTTAAATAATAGTATATAATTAGCAATTTTAATATGCATGCAAATATTATTGTAGCATAAAATGTATTCATTATATAGACAATACTTTTTATGAATGTAAAATTACCGACGAAATCATTTCAGTATTGAACGTTGAATACGAACCACGATGATCGCTATCAGGAGTTCATCGTTTTCTTTGATTATAAAATTTCATATATTTACAGAGGACTCAAATCTTCAAACAACTTAAACTAAAAGGTACTACTATTGAGATTTATGCCTGTTTATTAATTAGTTATGTGAATAGAAACTTTCAAATTTGTAAATTAAATATCGAATGTAAAACAATATGTCAAGATAAAGCTGAGACTTGGTTTGAATGAGAACATTCAATCAATGAGAATACTGAAGATCAAAATAATATGTTCTGTCATTTCGATGAAAATAAAGTTGTCTGGTTGTAGTTCAACACCTTATTGGCATAGTGACCTTAGAGATGAGTCAATGATATTTTCGAGTGATCATCAATCTGTAAGGTTAATAAATAAAAATCTAATATTTTTCAACAGAAAAATTGATGTTAAGCAACTATATAAATATCGGATTTTATTAATTGACAAAACTCGTTTTAATGATACTATCGTTATATGCCGGTATGATGTCAATTATTTCGGTTAAACTACACATTTTGCAACGATGGATTTCAACAGAATTTTCTTTTTACACTAGTGAACCACAAATAATTTCGCATGTTTCACTTTAGTAACCTAGAAACGTTTTGATAGCATCTTCTGAGTAACCACAATAATTTAACCGCTGTAAAAGCTTCTTTTTCTGGCATCGAGCAACATTTATGGGTTAAAACATGATTGGTAGTGACATGATTTCAAAACGGAAAAAAAATTTATTTTTTGTGTTATTTTATTTATTGAGTTTCTCCTGTGTTATTTTATCATATTTGATTATAACTTCTATGGGTTACAATCTACTCATTTAGTTTGATTAAATGAATATCAATAAATACCCATAGGTTAATCGTTTCATCAGCTGCCATACACTGAACGGGAAAAAAAAGAACTTGATGTGTTTATCAGATGACTATGATAAGCACAGAATAGATGTCGTTCGATATGGATTTAATTTTTTTTTTGAAGTAAAGTTCGTAATAGAGAATAGATAAAGAATAAAATTCTTCGTAAATACATAATATAAGATACAATATTATTTTAAAATTTTGACGTATGCTTAGCTACCTATCATTAATTGGATAAACTAGAGCATACATGATGTTCAAATGACTCATTGACTAAACCCTTCCCGTCAAATTTAGCTATCCCATTCTATCACCTTTGAAAATAACATTTTGGCTTTGAGAGAAAGTTTAAAAAGAAAGAAAAAAAAAGAAAGACAATTGACTTCGAATTATTCTGTTCTATGTCGGAAGTAGGTAAACAAAAGGAAAAATAGAACAGAAAAAGGGCGCATGAATCACTAATAAAACATTACTATCATCAAATTGTTTATCTTCCGACCACTGCTTAAATGAAATTCAGTTTTATTTTTTTCTTTAGATGACTATTATTTGAATCGGTTTGTAACGAGAAAAAAACAAATATTTTTCAACCAATGGTTGTCGGAGTACCATCACCGGTGACAATTGTCGAAGAAGGAGATATTCACGTGTGTGAACTATCAACTTCTGTAGTTGAGTCAACATCTATTTTGTCCAATGTAACAGAATTACCTATTGATCAAACAACTAATATTATTGAATATCCCTTTGAACTGTTATCTGGTGAAGAATTAATTTATCATGGAGCTGACTTGACCGATGGTTGCATTTATTTAACAGCTTACCGTTTATTTATAATTTCAAATCAATCATCATCCCATTGTTCATTTATTAATTGTCCTGTTGGGTTAATTGAATCAGTTGAAATAAAAGATAATATTCATTTATATATTCAATGTAAAGACATTCGTTCGTTTCGTGTAATGTTTATGACAACAGAGAAATGTAATTATTGGTTAAGAAAATTGAATGAATCTTTATTAACATTACTAACATCAAACGATTTATTTTCTATAAAATATGCATTAGCTAAATCTCAACAAGATAATGATATTAAGATTGATTGTATTCGACAGGAATTTGTACGCCTACGATTAGATCAATCACCATGGCGTATAACAGAAATAAATACTGATTATAAGTTTTCTCCAAGTTATCCAAATATTTGTATTGTTCCAGCAAGTATAACTGATGACGAAGTTCGGGAAGTAGCAAAATTTCGATCACATAAACGTTTTCCAACTATTGTTTGGAGGTGAAAGTTTTGTTTTTTCTCCTTAAACTATTTTAATTAATTAATTAAATTTTCCTTTTTTTTAATATTAGACATACTAACGGTGCAATCATTGCACGAACAAGTCAACCAGAAGTTGGATGGCTCTTTTGGCGTTCAAAAGAAGATGAAAAAATGATTCAAGCCATTATAAATGCTTGTAAACCAACAGAGACACAAGTTTCGACTACTTCGAATGAAAACAATGCAAATCGCTTATTAATTCTTGATGCAAGAAGTTATGCAGCTGCACTTGCCAATCGTGCGAAAGGTGGTGGCTTTGAACATCCACCATATTATCTTGATTGTGATGTACAATTTATGAATTTACCAAATATTCATGCTATAAGAAAAAGTGCACAAATGTTAAGAGTAGCAGTTACAAATGTAGCACAAGGAGAAACGTAAGATTTGGTTTGATTTTCGTTTCATAGTTTTCTTTTTGAATCAATATAAAAATGAAATGATGGACTTTTTAATCGTCCTATATTATCGTTTCATGATTCATATTTATATGAAAGCCTAGAAATTTCTCTGGTAGAGTCGTGACAGGGGATGGGTACTTGATCACTTCCCCTTTTTTTTCTTTGAAATTTTTTGTTGTCCCAGCAGGCAATTATCTTTCATAGATTGTAAAACTATAAAACAGTCTGTAACCATGATTACTTCTCTTTTCTATAAACCGTCTATTCATAATTGATAGGAATACGAAACTTAAGTAAACCTATGTCAAGTCAGTGTTCGATGGTTACCTTAAATACACAGATATTTATGTATATATATGTGTGGAGGGGGTGGGTATGCTAATGTCTCAGAAAATACTGATGATTCAATGTATCATTATTTTCATTGGAAGTACTTATTCCTAATTACGAATTTCTCTTTTCTATTGTTTTAGTTGGCTTTCACAAATAGAATCATCGAGATGGCTACATAATCTATCTGCATTAATCAGTGCAGCGTCATTTGTTGTTGATACTGTTCATAATCAAGCTCGACCCGTACTAATTCATTGTTCAGATGGTTGGGATCGTACTCCACAAATAACGACATTAGCTGAGATTATGCTTGATCCATATTATCGTACAATAGAAGGTTTTCAAGCATTGATACAACGTGAATGGATTGCATTTGGTCATAAATTTGCCGATCGTTGTGGACATTGGAATGGATCCAATGATCTCAATGAACGTAGTCCAGTTTTTCTTCAATGGCTCGATTGCATTTATCAATTGTACACTCAACATCCAACTGCATTTGAATTCAATGAAAATTTTCTTGTACGGATTTAACTTTCAATCATTGCTTATGTTTTATCATGTTTTATATTTTAGTTAAAATTAGCTAATCATACATATACTTGTTTATATGGTACATTTATATGTAATACAGATTCTGATCGAAGAGCAAATAATTTAGAAACTCGAACACTAAGCCTATGGAATTTATTTAATATTAACTCAAAACGATTTATTAATCTATTATATAGTAAAATAAAAAAAGACGTAAAGAAATATTTTTTCAAAATTTTTTGTACAACGATGAATAACTTTCATTTTACATTTTACCATAGATTCTTTATCCATCGTCTTCTGTTCGTGATTTAACCATTTGGTCAAATTTATACTTGCGTGATATTCGTTATACTCCAATGGGTTCTTCTGAGCATGTTTCAAAACCAATCCCAGCACGAATTCGTTCCTATGAAGATCTATCGAAATTAACAACAAATACTTTACATCGTTCAACCTCTGATCCAAGTTTAAGTGATTCCTTGCCTATTGAATCAACGTCAATAACAACATGTCTTAATAATAATCCTCTATTATTCCCACCACAATCTCCATTTAATCGTTCACAAAATTCAACATCGACAAATAGTTTATTTGGTCAGCCGCATCATCTTGGAACATTAAACGATAGTCATCCAAATGTAATAAATAATTCAAATACAAATCAAATATCAATACCAATTAATATTAGTCCTGATAATCGAATAAAACAGCATAGTTTTACTACAGATGATTCATCACCAGATTTAACACAATTAGCATTATCCTATCAACGCTATTCATTGAATCCTCACAGTGTTGATAATCTATTACGAGCAATGTCACGTCCTAGAAAATATACAAATTCAACATCAAGTACCACATCGAGTTTATCAGACGCATGGTCGTTAACAAAAATTAATTCCTATGACCCACATCAAACCCAAAAAATGGTTTGTTTGAAAGCAAAAAAGGAATTTAACGAAAGCGAAAGAAAGAAATTTTTTGTTTGCGTTTAGATGCAGCATATGACATCAAATAAAATCATAAAATCAATACGAAAACGTATTGATACAGATGGATTAACTAAAGTTTCTGATAAAGTTACATCAAAAATGCTGGAAAAAGAACGAACTTATCAACAAAGAGCCGAAAATCTTCGTGAACATAAACGACAAATGCAAAGATTTGTATACACTTTAATTAATATTAATCATAATCAAGTATGAAATAGATTCACAAAAAAAAAATATTTTTCTTGTTCTTACATAGAATGCATCACCTCGAATGGATGTAATATCAGAAAGTAATATAAACACAATAGAAACATTTTCATGTTCATCATGGCAAAAAATCGATAATACAGATGCTTCTATTACACGTTGGACGCCAGATTTTAATGCACAAACATGTCATTCATGTATGGCTAAATTTCAGCAATGGCCTATTTCACGTAAACATCATTGTCGAAGTAGGTAGAAAACAAAACCTTTCGTTGTTGTTTTGTTCTCGGAAAAAAAAACTCAATTAAAATCTTATTTACTGTTGTCGCATTTTTGTAGAACAGAATTATTTCGCTGGAAGGACTGTTCGACTTCGTTTTATTGCGTAGATTATAGTAAATACATTCGTTTACGACAACTAGTGCATAGAACATAGAAAGAAAAAAATAAATAAGATAAAATGTGCTTAACGTCACTATTTTGTTTTCACTCAGTTAACGAGAGATTGAAGAAGCAGAATTTCTCCAATGATGAAAGTTGGTCCTTTAAGAGTGCGTAATTATTGTACCATATATCATATGTGTATACCTTCAGAATCAGGTGTTTACTCTTGAGAATTTTTTCAATTATTGTTGCGGACCAAGAGGCATAAATAAAAGATTACTTCAGGTTCGCAAGAAATTCTTATTATTGTTCTTCTAAATATAATTTTTCATCACATACCACATGTTAATTGCGTTGACGAGTTTATTTTCCTGTGTAAAAGTATTATTGATTGAATAAAAATACTTCAAACTTTAGTTCTATATTTAGTAATACCCAAAATAAACTAATAAAAAGATTGTAACTATTCTAATTACTGCATTAGCATGAAAAAGCGGCTAACCGGTTATTTATATGAATAGTCTTTCGTTATAATCGGATCATGTGCTTAAAATAATCACCCTTATTAAATGTCAAGTATGTTTTTCTAATAGAAGATCTCTATTTTAGTATGTGGAAATGTATTTTGTAATGCCTGTGCCGATTATTACAAATTAATTCCAGCACTGAATTTAAAAGAACCTGTACGCGTTTGTTGTGACTGTTTTCCTGCAATTGATGACAGTAATAATAATAATAATATTAATAATGGAAATTCTGAACCGGCAAGAACTGCTGCACCAATACCTATACAAAGTGGTTGTCGACAATCGAATGGATCATTTAATTCACCTGGTGGACAAAAAGTTAAAGGATAAAAGAATGCTTTTGTTTGTGTAGCAAAAATCATTTCACCCGCGTGATCTTATCTATTGTAGTCGAAAGTTTCTTTTTAAGAAAAGAAAATCAATGTCTTCTAGACTAGATCCACCATAAGATTATTTTTCGTCTCTGTGAGCTCGATTCAATTTGATTTTTTTCCCTTTTCTAACTATTGCCAGCTTAGTTTCATTCACCATCACGTGTAACGTGTTGTTGTACGTTATTTATTTATATTTTTTTGTTTTCCCTATTATTTGTATCGTCACACAGTGGGTTCATATTATTTTTTGTCTTTTGCCGTTGTTTATATCTTTGTTTTTGTGTATATACGGACTTGTTAGTACTCATGAATGTGTTTGTGTATTGAAAATTTTTCCCCTATATTGTGATGATAACATCAACTGAAAATCTTTTCTTTCCTTGGTACAATACTTATATTAATATCATACTAAGTAAACATACAGTTTTAAACAAGAATCCTTAAGTCTTATGATCTATTTTTGGACTCGTTTTTTTCATCGTCGCGAATAGAGTATTTAGTTTTCTTTTCATGTTTGTCTTTAAAATGTTTTTATTTGTTTTGTTGATTTCTTCAATTCTTATCTGCTTTGTTTTGCACGAGTGTATGGTCAAAAAGAGTAAGACAAAGACGAAAAACAAATGAATAGACAGAAGTGTGATTGACACTTTCGAATAAAACTATGAAAACAAAAAGAAACATTCTTGAGATAAGTTTATTTACGAGATAAAGTTGCTATGAGTGATATATTTAAATGAAACAAGAATGAGTGACCCTTTAGAAAACTATTGAAATCCGACTTTTGTTGACACAATATTAGATTAATTAGTATTGCAGCTGAATTGACAAAAGGCAAGCTAGTAGAACACTGGAAATTAATTCAGACATTAAATATTCATATATTATGATAAATTCCATTCGTTGTCAAAAATAATAGGCGAACTATAATTTTATTCAAATGTATATACTTATGGTTTTCTCTTTTAGCGTTAGGAATAGAATTATTTTAAATCTCTTAATACAAAGCTAGTTCTTTATTGGAATGAATTGCTTCAATATCCATTAATGTGTTACTTGTAGAGTTTCAATTATGCTTTCATTTCAGGTTTCAGAAAAAACGTTCACTATCAAATATGATATAAACAAAAATAGCACATGTTAGTGCAATTAAATAATTATTATTTGCACCTCGCAATTAATTAACGTTTAGCTAAAAAAAAGATCTCTTTCATCAATTGATAAAAGACATAAAAGTTCATGTACATCAATAGCACCTATAAAGACAATCTGAGTGGGAGTCTGTTGGATGATGATAATTACAAAGAAAACAATAGCTGTGATAATTGAATGATTTGTCTATTGTGTGTTGATAATTATTTGCTAGTTTTGTTTTCATTAATCGAGCGCATGACAAAATATGTGAAGTAATGTCAAAAAAAAGATTGCTTCATAATGTACTATTGCGTAGAAGGGTCTTGTTTTTCTTTGCTGCTTGAAAGAGCAAAGTTTGACGAGTATACACAAACAAAAAAACGATTTACATGAATATCCAATTTTAATGTTATTCCCGATTCATATGAGAATAGCGAACTATGGGGCAAAATTCGTTCTTACAGGATACTAGACAACGGTTGTTTGAGTGCGACAAAGAATGTTAGCGTATGGCATGGATATACTTCAGAAATAATTTCTTTTTACACTAACTTGATCTATGAACTGGGCTGTTCAAGATAAACGATAATCTCATTTGATTTTGAAGACTGAAAGTAGAACATTTTTGAGTCAACTACCGGTTGAAGGAAGAATACATTTTATGACAATAAAAAGACTAATCTAAATTCGATAGATGCCATCTATTATATGTGCTTATAATTTATGTATTAAAAAAGATATTAAATATACAGTGGTGGAATACAAAATGCATAGAGTGCACGTGAACATATTCAACAAATCAACGATTGTATAACTTATTTTTATCCTATTGAACCTTTCATGCTGTCTTGCTAAATTTTGATAGAAGAAGAAATCATAGAACATGTAACATAGCAATCAAAAATCTAATCGAATGTATGCAGACACACGTTTTAAAATCTATTTTAGTTTCAGACGACACAAGTATGATATCAATGATATTCTTGGAACTTGAATGAGCAATGATATTATTTATTTTTTGATGATAGAATAAAAATTTTGATTATCATAGTGCGAGAAAAACTCGTAAAGAAGATGCATTCTATCAGTCAAGAGCCATTCGATAAAGTAGTTCACGAATTAAACTGGAGTGTCATATTTTATTCCTAGACAGCATAAACGATTATTTGAATATTTATAAGAAAAATGGTCTCCCTCTTTCATTTTGCTTCAATAATTGCAAACGAAACAATTCGTGAAATACTTGTTTATCAGTTTCGATTATAGATAAACAAAATAGCTTAAAATGTTTTATACAAGCAGTATTTTAATCTAGTAACTTGGTTCAGTTTATTCTCAATTAAGTCAAGTTTTAATTGATTTGGTAATGAGATCATAGATGTATTCACGAACGTCTTGTCAGATATAAAAATAAATCATTACAATCTATCCACAATCCAAGGCGTACCAACATCATGCACTAATTTTCATACAATCAGAATACTGAGTTTTCAATAGTACCACAGTATCAGTAATTAGCATTGTTGGTCTTAGTCTATCTAGATGCTTGTTTTTTTTATCAATTAGTCAGCTTTTGTTTTAGGGGAAAAAAATAAAGGATTCTCGTCTGACATTCAAGATAATGCCAAATTATAACTACGTATGCTTGTTTGTTGTCAAATATAAACACCTACACATTGTTTACTGATAAATGCATCATATCAGCCAGCAGTTGTTGTGTTCAATTGATTAAATACCGCAGCTATATGATATTGTCTTGTCTATGATATCGGTAGAGTTTTTTATTAGTTTTTTCTATATGACAGATATATTGAGCTATTCTAAATACTAGTCCTAGCATAGCCTTTATCATATATATCATTGGTTTAATTAAAAAATAACGCTCCAGGTTGGCAAAAAGTAATATCAAGTGATATATTAAAAATGAATTATGAAATAACGAATACATTTATTATTGTTTTTTCCAATATCTTTAGAGACATTCAAAAAAAAATATCACCGTTAAATATCATATATTATAATGAGACTAGGATTATGAATTAAATCGTATGAAGTGAAAATAATCCGATTTATCTTCAGAACAACAGAAAATCCCGTGTTGATGGTTCATATAAAAAATGTCAACAACTTCAAATGAAAAGAATAAATTGGCGCTATTATTTTTGTCGCTTTTTTATTGTTATAAAAGTTGTTGTGTTCTTTTTTGGTCATCGATTAACATGAACGAAAATCAATCGATAATAAAAAATTATTTGCTCATTTTAAAAACACTTCATGGTGATCCAGGAGAGAATCTGACTGTTGTTATTAAAGGTGATAGTGGACAAACAGAAAAACTATCACTAGGAAAATCACAGGTAGAAATATGCTGATTATCTCGATTCGAATTCATTAGAGTCCATACGATTTTTTAGTCACATCATAAAGCTTTTAAACATAATCAAACTGATCTTTTTTTACTCTTGTCCAATATTGATGTAGGCAAAGTTGTTCAACTTGAATTTCATAAAAATTCAACGTCTAAATTTAAAGAATGGAAATTCGATCATGTTTTCGTCATCAACAGTTTGTTTTTTCATGAAAAACACGTTATTTATAGTCTATTATATTTTAGAAACTCGTATCTATCGTAATACTACCTTGGAATACTTTCTTCTATCATCATCATCGAATGATACGTTTTCTGTGGTGAATCTTACTGAACCAATAACTGAATCTCAAGGTGCTATTTCTTTGATCACATCCAGAAAATTGAATATGAGAGATAATGTAGTAATTTATTTGAGAATGAAATTATTTCTTATTCTTCTAAGTTCTAGTTGCATGAATGCCTTCTATAGCGTTTACGATAAGTTTGATGTCAATGCAGCACTTTATATTTCATTAAGTTCGGGATTATTGAGTATACCACAATTTTGTAGTGGATGTAAAACTGAGAATCGAAACTTAAATAAAAACTAAAATTATAAACGAGATAGTATATTTCTGGAATATAATATCCTTATGGAAAATATTGATCGGATGTATTTTTTGGATGTGTAGTGCTATTCAGCACATCAATACATTTTTTGTTTGTAGAAAGTTGCTACTATGCATTTATAAAAACTGGAAATGATTCATGTTCAAAAGCATGTTATCCTGTACTATCGTTATTCGGTAATAATCAACAACAGACAAATATCAATTTGAAATCATCCGCTCGTATTCATTCATCATCAACGAACAATAGTATTGCTCTTGAAAAATATCAATTTGATATATTTCAATGGCAAGATCATAATATTGGTAACATTGACCGAATGCGTTTACAGTTGTGTTCAGAAAATAAAGAATCAAAATGTCGATGGCCTATCGAATGGATGTTTATTATTCATCATGGATACAACTTCACCGGTAATAATGAGAAAATTTACAATAGATCGACTGTAATGTGTTTCTTGTAGGGCGTATTATAATTAATCGAATGTTAATAGCCGATCTATCTATTGACATTGCTTTAGAACAAAAAATATTACCTATTCCAAGCGAACATGGTGATTTCTGTATTAATGAGAAAAAACAGGATAATAACATGTTTTTGTCAAATATTTTAAATCAACAAGCAAATGCGTAAGTGCCTACAAATCAATATCAATAAATAAAATATGATTTCCATCCGTTTTCAGAATTACTGAGGATGTTGGTCGATATTATGTTATAATTCGAAATGTTGATGGAACTAGTGGTGATGTTTACTTAAATTTTCATGGTGATCTTTTATCATCATCAGGCGAACAACATTTATTAAAATGTGAAAATTATCCCGAACATCAGTTCACTAGTAAACATACAGTAAGCAAGAAAACAAATCTATTATGCCTTTGATTTCTATTGCTTGTTTATCTAGGATCTATTTCATATAAAAGCTTTGGAAGTGGGCCATATTCAATCTGTGTCAATACGTCTTGATCAAACAAATAAAGAACATAGTTTAACACTTGATAGTTTATACATAATACATAATGCTACAATGTATACATGTGACTCGAAACAAACTACTTTAAATAAGGAAAAACCGAACAAAAAATTGACTTGTCTATCAAAACCACCGGCACCAATCGGTAAAGTTTATTATTATATTGCCACTCATACAGCTGATAAAATGATATCGGGAACAAATGCAAGTTTTAAAGTTGTAGTAACAGGAACGAAAGGAATACTCGGTAAAAATTATTTTTATTAAGTTTCAAATCGTATTCATTCGAAAAACTTTCTCTTCTAGGACCAATGGAATTAAGAGAATCATTGACAAATGGAAATAATCCTTTTGAAAAAGAATGTATTGATTTATTTCATATTGAAGATGATGATATTGGTGATCCAATATCTATAACAATAACATTAGAACCAAACGGTAATTTGTTTTTCAACGGAATAGTTTCAATAAAGAGAAAGATAAATATTGAAATCATTTATATATAAATTTCCAACTTATCAATGAGGTTCCTCAGGCTTTAAAACTATATTGATTTAAATCATCACTACAGTAGTGCTTTCATTATTTTGTTTGTTTGCAAAAAAAGAAATATTATTCTATAGATGATCTGCTTAGGGCTAATGTCAAATATATTCAGTGGTGTCAAATGCGAACGGTACTATATTTTAGTGATCTTTCTATAAAGAAAGAGAAAATGGTTATTCTTTTATTTCTATAGAATCATGCTCGTTAAAAACGGTGAATATAATTCCCTATGGCAACTCGTTGGTGATCTAAAAATAAAAGAATCAAAAACTATTCCTTTACCTGCACAACAAAAAAAGTCGATTCAAGAATCGAATAAAAGCCAGATCATTTCTGTGCAGGATTTATATCTGCAAGATACTAATGAAATTACCCCATTGTACAAGATTGATCAATTTAATTCACTTAAAAGTAAACTTCACAAACATAAAGAAAAAATATCAACGCTAAATGATATTGAAAATTCTCTTTCGAGTGACATTCGTTACGATGATTTAACAATGACTGAAATAGAAGAACATCAGAAACGTCATATATTTGCACCTACTCTACATGAAGCCGAAGAAAACTATCGAGAATTAAGACGTTTATTAAGAAAAATGAATACACCAATTTCAAAAGCAAAGAAAATACAAATGTCGCAGAAACAATCAATGCATTCCACTAGAGAAAAAAACACTACAATTTCTTAATACTAAAAAACTTCTAAATTCTGTTTTTTTTTCTTTATTTGCTCAAAATAATAAATGAAATGAAATTAGACAAGTGTACCAACACAACTATCAGCATAACAATCATTTGTTGGATATGAATCAGGAATGATTTGCGTTTCTGTTGTAAGTTCTAGAACGGAACCTTCGGGACCTGGAAAATTAACTTGAATATAAAATCCTTCCCAACCACTGCTTGGACTTTCAATAGTTAAAGAATAAACTATAGTTGTTGCAGTTTGTGCCTGGATAATTTTAAATACATATAGATAACTAATGAGAATAGAAAAAAACAGAAGAAAATTACTTCAATTACAACATCAGTATTGAGCCAAATAACAGGGTTGGCAATTGCTTTGCCCGGTTTATTTGGATCGGCAATAAGAAGACGAAAATCCCGTCTATAAATCGATTAAAAAGAGAAATTTTTTGCTATTCGATAAAAAATAGAAGCAAACCGTTTGTTAGTAAGTGTACGAGCATGATAACCATAAGCCATCATTGGCTTTGGACCAACACTAAAATCCACAGTTGCTTGAACGTAACCATGAGTTCTATTTGATGTTTTATGCCATTTCAATGAAGGTAACGGTTGATTCTTGGAAAAATATAACGAATAAATCAATCACACAAAATAAATAAATATATGTCGATATGATTTACTTCATAAATACTTAGATAAAAACTTCGCATTGTAAGAAAAATACTTATTTCATGGCCAGCACAAGAATGCTCTGCATTTGGTAATCGTCTATAAGAAATCATAGGAGCTTGATGAATTGATTATCAAATCGATAATACCTTAGAAACGAACCGCCTGTGGCATTTTGTAAATCGTTCCAAAATGCATCCTACAAAATAATGAATTCAATTTATTCTACGGCTATATAGTTGGTTTTACTTCGTTATCGGGCAGGAAAAATTCATCACCACTCGACTGTACTTGTAATAATTTCGTATTTCTATATCTGTCAAAATAGCCTAAATAATAGAGGGAAATAGAATATTATATATTGTAAAAACAAAATAGACGATTCTGTTTTTACTGTAAGGATCAACTATTTGTGCCATTTTAATTAAATTTGGATGATCAACGTATCGAGTAATATTTACTTCATAGTAATCTTTGAATGCAAATGTCCAACCAGCTAAAGACTTTGAAATTCATAGAATAATAAAATTACAATTACCGTTTATTTCATATGCAACATACTCGATAGTGATGATGAAAATTCTATATGAAAATTTAAAAAATATGTTTTTTGAACTAGATTAATCAATATATTTCGTACTTGGTGAAGATTTAAAATATCCAAAACGATGGGTACTGCAGCAACAACTCGTTCATTATCAACAGCAGCTGTTGTCCAAGCTGAATAGATTTAAATTTTAAATATAAAATTTAAATAATCAAAATAATTCTCACTTGTCCAGCCACGCTACAATTCAAACAATAGAAAAATATCGAATATCATAGATTGATGAAAAACTTCATTTACTTTTGAAGCACCTCCGATGAGAAATTTTTGCGGTACAGCCACTCCTAATTGTTTTACAAACTGCTGTACTGCATCCATAGCTCTTACTGAAGCCTAATTTATCACACAAAAAAGAATGCATATTCTAATCATGAATATAATCCTTTTTACCTTAGTCATTGGCATACGAAGTAATACATACGGATTATCGGGATTTTCAAGAAACGTCTTCCATGTCCATGCAATAATAGCATCTTCTCCACGATTTCTTTGTGTTGGATCAGCCTAAGAAAAAATATATATATAGACATATTATATAGATTCCAAAAATAAAAATGATCAATTAACTTTACAGTAAAGCGTATAGGCTCATTAGGAATATCTTGAAGATCAACACCAATACTTCCACTACTTGCAGCAAACATAGATGTCAAAGCAACAAAATTATCTTGCGGTTTTGGCAGTCTGTTATTTGATAAAACAAAGAAAATATTTATTTTCGTTTTAGCAAATAGTGCATTTTCTTATACCCATTATTATTGCTACCCCCGTCAATAAGCATAAAAGCAGAATTAGGTCTTGTAATTTTATGCGGAACACTAATACATAAGTAATGCCACCAAATAGGACGATTAGAAAATGTTTCTATGTTTTGTTTTTAAAAATAAAAATATGAAAATAGGCAACGATTAATTCTACTAAATTAATTATTTACCATCGAGCCATTTTTGTGACGTAAAATTTAGAATATATAAAACATAATCAGGTTGTTGATATGACTGTATTACAGTCCAAGAAAAGTGTGGATCGGCTGCGTTGACATAATCATCCAAAGGAGTACACTGACTTTTGCCAATAAACAAAAGACTTATGGAAATAAGGGCTAATAAACAAAATGTTGATTTGATGTATTGCATTCTTTTGCAACAACGAAATGCAAATGATATCATATGAATTCTATATATGGGTTCTCGGGTTGTCGTTATCGGCAAGCCTCCTTGTTTTTCTTTTGTTGAATTTTGTGTGATATCTAGATAACACTTGTTAAACACGGCTTCTCTGCCTTAAGGTTATGTTAAGATATCAACACATCTTTTTTCGTATCTGTCACATACAGAACTCATTTTTTTGTTTCAATTGAAGAATTTAGCAAGAGACACCATAATTTATAACAACAGTCAAAGACTACTCTTACTATATTAATTATGTATAGTAAACATGTTTTCATAGCTTCATTTTTATTAAGAAAAAATAATTATATATTCAATGTTGTTTTTTTTTTTGAATGGCTACCATCGACAATTTGTATTACAATAAAATGTTTCATTCTAATCGATTTTTTTAACGAGAATATTTCTCGTCATATTTTTAATAATAGAGCTTTTATGATATCCGTGTTCAACTATTCTACTCTAATGTTCATAAACTCAGGAAAAGTCGTCGAACATTCTTTTTTTATGTTACTGAGCTGTTTTTATATGACTAATGATTACAAAAATGATGTTTTACCCTTCAATCATATACGCATTTATAATCAATAATAAAATAATTATTAATTCCTTTGTATTCATTTGAAAGTTCCATTAAAATACACCATGAAACGCAGAGTGTTTTAACTACTTTATATTTTTAGTATTAATGACATATGCTTATGGAACATTTTTGTGTTCTTGATACTTGAATTTCTAGTTCATTTCACAAGTTATATTTTTCTCTTTCTTAGAAAGATATTTATAGCTGCTAACTTGGCTTTGCTAGTTTTTCATGATAATATATATATATATATCATGAACAGTCATATGAAAGAGTAATATCATGTAAAAAGTCTATTACGATGATTAGTTTTAATTAAACTAAAAACATTTAATCTATATTTTACTACTTAAGATAAATTATTATTTTTAAAACGAAAGGTAAAAGAAGAGCCTAATCTACTTGACAAGTGAATATTTTTATATTCATAGATCGAATGATAATCACAACAACAAATATTCTTTTCGTTTACTGATAAAAAATGGTTGTTGCGGCGGCTAATTTGATCTTATTGGCAAAATTCATGCAGCGACGATAATAACAGACCGACGAGAAACAGTTTACATCCGGCCAAAGTTAAATAAAAGCCTACGAAAGATTCTGCCTGTTCTTTATAGTCAATTACTACACAGATTTCTAACAGGCATGTATATATTGAGAGCATGTCAATATATTGTATCGCTCGTTTATGCTACATAACAAAAAGAGCTACGAAACTTTTCTTCTTTTTTTGCCATGAGAGAATATACAACGGCAACACATATGACACTGTATAACTTTATGGTATTCTATTGCTTTTCATCGACACTATTCATGAGTCTCGTTCTCTCTATGTAGGCTCTTTCATTTTGTCTTTATTGACATAGGAAATATACATGTCGCAAAACAAGAGAGAGAGAGAGAGAGAGAGAGAAAGAGAGAAACTATCACCACAAAAACAAGTATAGTGAAGGCAGAAAGAAAGCAAAACTTTCAAGCTTGCTCATTTTTCATCACCTTTGTCGTATGCAACAGTCGCGAATCATGATAATGAATCTTGTAAAAAGGAAAAAACAAGACAAATAACTTTTTTCTATAATAGAAGATTGACTCGGTAAGCTATGAACGGAAGAATTCTTTTCATACAGATAAATTCATAATCGATTTTTTTCTATTAAGGAAAAGAAAAAGATTTGAAATATGGTCTCGAATACGCTAATTGACAAAACAGTCATTTGTATGAACTTCAGTATTAACGATAACAATAGACGAAAAGAAAATGGGCAACAAATAGACAGAGACATAGTAGGAATTGTTAGTGATCGATGATCGTGTGATGTTAACTTATATTCTAAGATGACGTTCGTTCGGTAATGGCAATCATCACTCTCCATTCCACTTGTCTTCGTTCTCGAATAGCAAGCAAACTTCTTGTTCGTGAATTGATAAAGAAGAGAGAAAGCAATAAAAAAAAGTCTCGCACAAATAAGCAAGTTTTCATTTCTATATATGCATGTTTATGTATGCTGTCAGATTTAATATAAGAATTTCTAGATCGACGAGTTGCAGACATTTTTATGGGCTGATGATTTGTCGACAGTTACAGTAATATTGTTTGCTAGAGTCATGTTCATCATTGAAAGAAAAACAACGAGAAAAAGCCAAAAATAGGGAAATAGTAACCTAATAGAATGTAGCAATGCTTGATGTTCTCGTTTTCTATTTTTCCTGTCTTCTCCTCTCATTTTTTTTTCATTCATTCTATCTATATAATGAATTTAGATGATAGGATAAAAATGACGGCAATGATGAAGACGATGAGCCAAAATCTCACTAGAGTTTTTATGCTTTGTGACTGACGTTTGCAACCTTTTACTCGTTACTGATACTCGCTTTTTTCTTTTTATTATTTGTTTCTTACAATTTTTTCCCTACTAATTATCTCTTCTTAGGCGAGTTAAGTGGGAAAAGGCGGCAAAAGCAAATGCACAGTATCATTTGCAAATACTACTAGCCACTTTTATATGCTTTTAGATTTGTGCTCTTCATATTTTTTACGACAATAAATATTAATATAAATATGCCATGATTGTTATGGCTTGTTAACCTGCCAGCTTATCTATTTTCTACTTATTTTCAAGTAAGTCACCGATAAATCCATTGAATGAATGTTGATAACTTCTATTTATTTCTGAAAAGAACCGTAATGATTTACTCTCTAACAATGATTACAAAGTATTTTTCAATGACTCATGACTAACGCCCGTAAAAGTTAGCTATGCTAAGTTTGATCAATTGAATAATCGTTCTCATTAGTTTCACCATTCGTGCTATAAAAAAAAAAAACAATATATGTATCTATATGCATGTGGTTTCTTCCGAGTTGAAGTACTATCACATCCATATGTATGATAAACTAAATAAATCGTACGCATGCATGTGTGTTATTTTTTGTTGTTATCGTTGTTGCAATCATGCATTTAAAGCTGCGTGAACGATGAAAGAGAACGGCCGAGAGCTCTCCACGTACTGAAAAGATAAGAACAGCAAAGTAGTAGACAACTTTGTTGTGCTCTCTGGTCGTCGTCTCTAGGGTAGGACAGTTCCGCAATAACCAAATTAGATGAATACTAGAAAGAACAGAGTCAATCGATAAATGTGTATATGACGCGTGTCATGCTGTCGTGATTATTTTCTCGTTATCGTGTATCGTCACAATAGTCATAAAGTCGCCTATTGTAATTCAACCATAGGCATGTCTTCATTAGAATCTGGTTGAAAACTTGTAATAAAGTTTAGTGTTGAATAGCTGCGTGCTATGTGCATACTGTAGTAGTTTTTTTTCCATATTTTTCTTGTTCGTTAATATCACTTTACATTTCATGAAAAAAACCAGAGCCCTTCAAGGAAAAGTATAGCTTTGATAAAAAAAAGCACGCTAAGCTTGAATTCAATCGTCTGCAAAAACTCATACTCACATTTACATGTATTTATTAGATAAAGCGAAAAGTCTTTCTAGTTTTTTTTTTTTTGTTATAATATTAACTCTAATTGATGTGCCATTTCTCTTTCGACTTCGCTCAAAATCGGGTTAGTAGAACTAAAAGACAACTCTCGCACAGCATATTTGCTTTATTAGAGAGTCAACGACAGTAAACTCGTCGTTTTTGCGTAATCGAATTGCCGCATGCGATCGCACGCAATTTGTGTTTGCTTTTCTTTTTTGTTATATATAGTCGCTTGTTCTCCCTTTATTGCTCATATTTCTTTGTTACAGACAAATGCGTATCTACAACCATAACAATAATTATAATTATTATAATCATCATCATAATAGTAGTAATGAAAATAAGCAAACAGAGTGTGAGAACGAATGATAGGAAAAAATATGGTGCAGGCAGCTGATTTCATTACACGCTAGTCGTTCTTATCGTTTCTTGCTTTTGTATGTGCGTCTATGGCAGAGAGTCCTTTATTTCAAACCACATCAACACAGTTCTTCTTCTTTATAATTAGAATACTGATTGTCTTTGTAATTATCTTTGTAAGTTATCCACCCTAATTATTACGGTTGAAACTTTTGAGGAGACTCAGATGGGAGTAAAATTTTACTAATAATATTTATCGATGATGAAGACTCGTTTATATGAATACGTAATGCAAATTAGAATGAACTATACCAGTTGTCAAATAATCATATATTAAAAATAACCTAACGAAGTGCTTTCATCTTTTCTCGAGAATTCTCTTGATTGAAACATCAACTAAATATAGATCTGAACCTTCGAATGTCAAAGAATCAACCTTGCATACAGCAGAATTCTTTTGATATAAAAACTTCTCTGCTGCTTTCTGTTCCTAAAACATAATATATTGCATGATCATTATATATAGATATCGAACGGTAAAGAAAAGATAGCATGTAATTACTAAAAAAATAGAAATCAGACCGTATTGTTTATCCTCGATTGATGGAAATAGCGGTGTTAGCCGAGACTTTGTAAAAAAAAGAAAAGTCGGTCTCTCTTTTATATATGTTCTTGCCTATAAGATATTTTTTTCTTGTATTCAATGCACGTGGCCGATGAGTACACTCCAGTGCTGCCGAATAATTATGCAAGGCCAAGATATTGTATGATAGCATAAGTCAGAGAGAGAGAGAGAGAGAGAGAGAAGGAGAGGAGAGGAAAGATGATGGCGAAAGAAAATATAAACCAAGGCAAGAGAGAAAAATACGAGAAGAAATATTGTTATGTGTGTTTCGATAATGATATGTACTATTCTAGTAGTAATGCCCATCAAACAAAACGATGTTCTCAATAGCTATTCTCCCATGCAACATTTCTTTTGCGTTGAACGTCTTCTCGATGTTGGCAATAAAAAATTTTAAAAAGACAACATATCTAACGGCGATTACCGCTTGACATTTATTAGTTACAACCTCTCACTTCATCATTAATATTACTATAGTTATTTATATCATTGAGTTTATTTATCTCTCTCTCTCTCTCTATATATATATATATATATATATTTATTTATCGAACGACAAACGACAGGAGAATTGTTTTTTACTTCGTTTATTACTTCATATTTGGCTCCTATGAGTATTTTGTGTGTTGACACTTCATTGTATTATTTATATCTGTCATAGTTAAAGCTCATAAGAGACGCACAAAACAACACGTAGAAAAATAACTTGAAATGAATCTATTTGCTATTCAATTAAATATATTGATGGAAAACTAGTTACAGTTTATGACTATTACGATACTTGGTCGTTTTCAATATTTAAAATAATGAATTTCAATAGAAAAACAAATGACCAACAAAAACTCCGCAATCAACAAAGACGTTCGATTGCTGAAGGCATGGCTTGCACAGGTATTATTCGAGTTCGATTAGAGGAAAAGAAAGCATTCTGATGTATGGTGCTCCATTAGACATGCCTAATATTTACACTTAGCAGCTGCTTCTATGCCAAAATAGATATTTAAAAAAAGAAGAAGAAGAAAACCAGCTAGTTTCTGTTTATGACTTAACATGAAATTGAATCTTTTTATCGACATCAACATCGATACAGAAAAACAGAAGAAAGAAAGAAAAAGCGACTAAAGTTAATTAACAACAATAAGGAAAGTTTAAGCGTTTATTATTTCCTTCAGTTTACTTCGAGTTCTCATTTTACAAGCTTTACTTTTACAAGTATGTCTATGCAATCTTTGATTCCCATGGCGAGAGATAGGAAAAATTTCTCGCGTAGAAATTATTTTACATCGGTGAACGTAACCCTACAAGCTTATGAAAAAAAAATGAGTAGTTGCTATGCCTCTAATATCCAAATGGATGTTTTTTTTTCTAAATTTTCAATAGAGATAAAAAAAAAAGTTTTATATTTTTTTTCTGCTTCTGAAAAATGATTTCTCTTCTATGGAAAAAAACTTTCGAAAAACCATAATATAGGTTGGATGAAAAGAGTACAGAGATAAGTTAGCATGCATACATATATATATATATTTATGTTAGCATGGCAAGAAGCTTTTCTCCTATTACAAGGATTTCAATGATGTCATCTTTTACATTAATGAAAGAATATTTGTTTGTAACATATTACAGCTAATAATCGATGTTGCGTTTTTTCTCACCATAGTTTTTTTTCTCTCTGAAGACCAATATATTGCAACAAATGACATTTAATTTGTTTTTTCGTATCTACTTTCTTTTTTTTCTTTTTGCCTATAGCACCGACCTGTACTGCTTTTGTCGAAGCCATTGGTCTCTTGTGTGAGACAGTTTCAGCTAGTGAAGTAACAACAAAAGCATTATCGTCAATATCAAATCAAAACATGGCAGCGGCGACCAGTGGAAATCGTAATAATGAAGCATTACCGAATTCTCAAGAATCATCCATGTCCACCCGACGAAGTACGGCCTCGCATTTATTTTCTGTTGATTCAACATCATCATCAAATTCAAGTAGTAAAAATCTTTCAGCAAGTTCTTCAGCTCTATCTCCATTTGTTGAAAAAAAACAAGCCATTGCCCGTCGTGGCGCATTGAGACAGAAAAATATTTATACTGTTAAATGTCATCAATTTATTCCAAGATTTTTTAAAACTCCAACATTTTGTTCACATTGTCGAGATTTTATTTGGTAATTATTTTGTTTATTTGTTTCGAACTATCAATTAATCAACATTCTTTTCTATAGGGGTTTTGGCAAGCAAGGATTTCAATGTCAAGGTAATTTGAATTGAATAGAGATTCGAAATACAGTTAATTAATCATGCATTAGATTTGCTTAATTTGTTCTCTTGTTTTTTACAAATTGTTTACTAAAATCTCATGAGACTCAGATCGAAATCTAATTCTCATGAGATCGAATTTATTGATGAGGATTGAAGTATCGGTTATTTGTCTTCCTAATTATTTGTAAATTTTATTCAGAGACGAATAGATATTTTTAATGTTGAAATTTACAATATTTTCTATCCTTAGTTTCGAGCATTGGATTATTTTACTTACGTTTTCCTTCTTTTTAGTTTGCTCTCTTGTCGTTCATAAGCGTTGCCATGAATTCATCAGTTTCATATGTCCTGGCATTGACAAAGGAGCAGATTCAGATGTAAAAATGAATTTTATTTTTGAACTACTACAAAAAAAATCCTGTTCTATTTTACTTTAACAAATTAGGCTCCACGAAATAATCATAAATTTCTTATTCATACATTTACCTCACCGACATTTTGTGATCATTGTGGATCGCTTCTATATGGACTCATACATCAAGGTCTTAAGTGCCAAAGCTGTGATATGAACGTTCATAAGAAATGTCAAACATTGGTACCAGATTTATGCGGCCTTGATCATACGGAACGTCGAGGTCGAATACATTTACGTATAACATTTGAACGCGAAAGTAAATTAATTATTGAAGTTATCGAAGCAAGAAATTTAATACCAATGGATCCAAATGGTTTGAGTGATCCATATGTTAAAATAAAATTGATTCCAACAACATCAGGCGGAAATAAAAAGCACCACTTCAGTAAATGTAAAACAAAAACAGTGCGCGCAACATTGAATCCTCAATGGTTTGAAAAGTTCACAATGTAAGTTTAGAGACCATGATAATTATTGAAAATACAAAAACGCATGAGTTTATTTTTATTTTTGTAGTGACTTGACTGATGATGATAAAGATAAACGATTATTAATTGCTGTTTGGGATTGGGATAGAACTTCGAGAAATGATTTTATGGGTTCACTTTCATTTGGTAAATTTGACTTGATTTTTCCACTTTTAACTATTATGAATTATTCTCGTTTGTGAAGGTGTTACTGAATTAATGAAAGAATCAGTTGGCGGTTGGTTTAAATTATTAACACAGGAAGAAGGTGAATTCTATTCAGTACCAGTACCAAGTGAAGAAGGTTTAAAAATGCCGATCAAACCACCAACTGTAACTATACACATATAGATAGATACAAGAATATTGTTATAAATAAACAAAAATAAATTATTTATTTTAGAAATCTAGTAATGTTAGAGAAGCAAGCTATCGTTCTGATACATCAACTGGTGGAAGTATTCATTCGAGCGATCAAACGGTAATGCGTTCCAATTCCCAAACACAAGCAGTTAAAGTCACAGATTTCAATTTTATCAAAGTGCTTGGTAAAGGCTCATTTGGCAAAGTAAGTGAAAAAGAAAATCACATTCAGCAGAAAACATTTTTCTTTCCTTTTCAAGGTTGTTCTCGCCGAACGTAAAGGAGCCCCAGACGAATTGTATGCAATAAAAATTCTTAAAAAAGATATTATCGTACAAGATGATGATGTTGAATGTGTAATGATTGAAAAGCGAGTGTTAATGTTAAATGACAAACCAAAGTTTCTTGTACAACTTCATTCATGTTTTCAAACAGTGGTATGTAGAAAATTTAGAAAAAAAACAAAAATATCTGATTCGTATACAAAATTTATTTCTTCGTTTAGGATCGATTATATTTTGTTATGGAATTTATTAATGGAGGTGATCTTATGTATCGTATTCAACATGAAGGAAAATTTAAAGAGCCAGTTGCATGGTAAATAAATCTTTTAACTAATTTTTTAATGCAGGCGTAAGCGTCTCTAAGATACAATCAAATAAATATTTTAAGTTGAAGAAGAAAATTAGAGATTTAATTTATCATTCATACATTAAGTATTAATAAAAACAGTGGCAGAGTTAGTTTTTAAAATTTTTTCAATAAACTTTGTTTTTTTTATCTGTTAGTTGTATAATGATGAAAGCTAACCTTAATAAAGATTGCACTTGATTTTGGACTCACCTCCAGTGTTCATTCTTCAGTTTTCAAGCTGTAATTATTAGATAAATCAAGTTAATATAAAAATTAAAGTAGTCTCGTGTGTATAAAAGAATAAATGTGGAAACTTCGGATTTCATCCGAAATTTATGTGTACTGCAAAAAGTGCATGGGATATATGAGTCATTCTAGAATGTCTGAACACCAAAATTATCATGAGAAACTAGGCAATTTGATTTCTGGATGCAGTTTTTGTGCATTTTGAGACGTTTTTCAGGCGATGTTTCATCAGAAAGCTACGGTTTAGCTCAAAACTAATATTAGATTCGGAATCAGCGTTAAAAACTGAGTCAATTTATATATGTTGTGAATAATTCTGAGAAAGATTTATTTTTTGAAAAAAATTCCCTGTACTCCTCCTCAGGGATGGCCTGGTCAAAAATGACAATTTTTTCGATAACTCAACCATTTCTTGAGGGATTCTTCTCATCTTCGAACTCGACCGAGATATTCATGAGATTGAACTGTGTGGAAAATTTCATCACGGTCTGACTCTCCTTTCGCAAGTTATCGTGCCTACGGCCGGACGGACACACTGACCGATTCTAGAGTGTACTCACTTTTTGAGTACACAAAAACGAAGACATGCTGAAGCACTTAATTTTAAAAATTGATATTTATGAATCATGAACTCGGTCAGTTTATTATTAGAGAAATCTCACTTTTGATAGATTGCGATCTAAAGAGAAAAACAGATTGCCCTATAGGTATTTCTCAAATGCGTGACATCACAAAAGAACAATGAGAAATAGATGTCTTGCAGAGACTGGACAAGTACAAGTACAGCAAGTACAAGTGCAGCAAGTACAAGTGCAGCAAGTACACGTGAAAATACTTGTTACTTACTAAGTGTACTTTGGACTTTTACTCAAGTACAATTACTTACGTACATTTGTACTGAGTACCGGTACTTGAGTATAAAGGTATTAAAGTACAATTACCAAGTACACTTGGTACCTTTATATGATTATCGGTACATCAGTACTTGGTACTTGTACTCAGTATCGAGTCGCTGATGTCTTGTGAAACAAGTGCAAATATTTTCAATTTGAGTGCTTTCTAAATGTTTTTAATAATTTTAATATGTCTTCTGTCGTTGCATGGATGGTGCTTCGAAATAAATTTCAAATTCTGACACAGAATAGATTTACTTGTTTTCTATTTGCATCTATTTTGCATAATAGTTTCCACTTGAATCAAGATTACATCAAAAGAACGTGATATAATTCATTGAGAAAACAAAGATTTGATTCATTTTGTCTGTTTCCCAAAAATATGAGAGGGTTTAAATTTCATCATAAGAAAGTTACTCGAACAAAAAACAAATATGATTAAATGATTAAATGATTATAATTGTTGATGAAATTAATTATGTTAAGATGCTCATGAAACTATGTTAGACACTGGATGATGTCCGTAGGAACATGAGAAGCTTCTGCCAATGATTTTATAATTATAAATTTTATGTTTTTATTTAGTTTTTATTCAGCTGAAATTGCAGTTGGTCTTCTCTTCCTTCACAAACTGGGCATAATCTACAGGTAAGAATAAAAATCATACATAAGCTACTTATGATGATGATGATGCATATTCTCTTTATTCTAGAGATCTAAAATTAGATAATATTCTATTGGATAGTGAAGGACATATTAAAATAGCCGAGTATGTGTTCAAAACAATTATCCTTTCAAACAATAATAAAAATTAATCTTTTTACTATTATAGTTTTGGAATGTGTAAAGAGGGAATAATTAATGATAGAAAAACATCAACTTTTTGTGGAACACCAGGTAAACTATATTTTTCATATGAAATTAGTTTTATAAAAGACAAAATTTTAATTATTTTCTAGATTATATTGCTCCAGAAGTAAGCTTAATAGAATTTGTTTTTCGTTAAATATTTTACTTAATTATTGTTCAGATCATTTTATATCAAAAATACGGTAAAAGTGTTGATTGGTGGGCATATGGTGTATTACTCTTTGAAATGCTTGCTGGTCAACCACCATTCGATGGAGAAGATGAAGAAGAACTTTTTACTGCTATCACAGATCATAATGTATCGTATCCAAAATCGATGTCATTTGAAGCTGTATCGATTTGCAAAGGAGTATGTGATTTTCTTAGAATACAAAGTATTTTTGTTTTCCTTAGAATCAGTAGTATAGTCCCTGGATATTATTAAACAGTACCTAGCAATCTTTCGGAATCTTTCAGATTCATAGAGATCGATTTGTGTGCATGAAAAAAATTAAGACATAGATTAGCTATAGTAATTATCGATTGTAAATGAGTTAATGATTGTGGATTATTGATGATCGATTGATATGTCTAGATTAAAACTATTAAAAGAAATGATTTGTTAAGCGAAAAATATCCGACATTATCGATAATAAATATTTCTTTTTTAGTTAATGGCTAAGAGTCCTCAAAAAAGACTTGGTTGTCATCCAGTCGATGGTGAACGTGAAATAAAAGATCATTCGTTTTTTCGACGTATCGATTGGCTGAGAATTGAAGCTCGTGAATTGCAACCTCCCTTTAAACCGAAAATTGTATGTAATCATTTAATTTGTGTTTGGATGCATGTTGTAATAGAATTTAGAATATGTTTTAGTTATGTAGAATTAGATGTGTTGTGTTATTGTCTCGTTTTAGAAAAATGATCGTCTAGCGGAAAATTTTGATAAATGTTTCACAAACAATCCATTGAAAATGACACCATGTGATTCACTTGTGCTTGCATCGATCAATGAAGACACATTTCAGAATTTTTCTGGTTGTAATCCATTTTTCATCGTTGATTCAGTAGCCTTATAAACAGGAAAAAAAGATTTCATTCAAAAGAGAAAACAAAAACTTAATGAACATATTTCATTGTTTTCTTGTGTCTGCTAGTCTTATGTATCCATGCTCATTTCAATCGTCTTTTTACATTATTATCCGGTTAAATGTATAATATTTTGTTTCTTTCGTTCTTCATAATGAATGGCAATTATTATCAAGCTAACGTAGGACTTTTCTCTTTGCGTAGTAGCATATCCGCATGTATATGCTTTTAATTCAAAATTGTTCTCTTTCGTCTATAGCAAAATGTGTCTTATTTGTTTTTTTTTCTTTCCGCTGATAGACTTGCATGTTGCTTATGTCTGCCATTTCATGTATTGTTGGATTTGCTTTTGTTGATGATTTGTATTTCAAAACAATCTGTGACATATATTTATATTAACAAGATTTATCAATATGATAAAAAAAGAAGAGATAAGTATTTTAAAAATCAAAAAGAAAACAACAAATGACGAATCTAAACAGAGAAGAATGATTGAAATATTTACATGCAAATATATATATTGACTCCATTAATTGTTTTCTTGAGTTTAGTGTATTTCACAGCAAGAGTTTCGTTGCGTGATATTTTATTTTTAGCTCGTACTATATGCTTGATGTAAGCTAGATGTTTCCTTCAATTATAATGAGTGCTTGAATGAGACGAAGAATAATCTATTTCAGCTTTATATATTTATTAGAGTTGAGATAATAATAGAAGCTTAATGGAATAACCTGCTGTTTTGTCATCGTTATGAAAATTCTATTTCGTTAACTGTAAATAAAATTTTAATCAAATAAAATGCCAAAACTATTTGTTGCTCGACGAAAGTCTTTCTATTTACTATGAACATATGTGCGAGTTTATTCTGATTTTATTCTAGGCAAGCAATAATGATACATCAAATTTTGATGAAGAATTTACTAGTGAATCTATTCAATTAACGCCTTGCGATAAACAACTTCTTCTGAATATTGATCAAACTGAATTCGCGTCATTTACATATATAAATAATGAATTTGTTATTGCATCACCATTTACAAGCACAAGTGTATGAAAATAAAAGAAGAATGAAGCTAAACAGAATTTCTTTTGAAAAATTATTTTATTAACTCGATCATATCTAAATATATTTGCATATTGTATGTCTCGCCGTTTGTCTGTTTCTGTCATTTTATTCGTTCTTATTATTCTTTTTCTTTCATTTATTCAAACTGAATCGTCCTATTTCTTTTAATTAAAAATACTTATGAGAAAAAAATATATATATTTATATGCGTGTTTGAGTTAAATGTCAGTCTTTTTTCTTTTTCGGTTGCTTTTACCATATGTATGTTGGCGGGATTAATGGTATTACAGCCTGAATAAATAATGATGTTGGTACATAATCATTTATTATCTCCTCCAAGTTGCGACCATGCTGTAACAAAATACGTATCTTGAACTGGAAAATTACAGAAACGTTGCATGCTATTAAGTAACAATTGAGCTTCTTGTGCTGAGATATGTCCAGGTTGACTCATAGAATAAATGTTGAGAACATAAAACCAACGTTGCACTAGACTAACGTTCCGTTGTAACAGAAGACAACCCATAAGAAACTCATGGAATGTTAAAATACCATTAATATCAGTGTCAAATATAATAAACATGCATTCTTCATGGGCATTAAAATTCCACGTCAAACCAGCAATACTTACATAGATATTTTTGAATTCATTGATGGTCATTCACGTAGGATATCTTAGGTCAGGATTCGCTTATTGTCCAATAAAATTCGCAAATACATCAGACCAAGCTCTCAAAACTTCATCCTAGATAGAGCTTTACTTGCTCTATCGATTGGACTAGTTTTGAGTTCTTTACAATGCTTCCATTGCCTCGAAATTTGCTAAACAATCCTGGAAATCTCAAGTTTCTCCAAAGAACCTGGCGCCATTGGCTCTAATCACTTTTTCAAGACTTCCATACAACTTCTCAAGAAGAACTTGGTGAGATCAACTGGAAGCACCTATGTCGGGGTAAATGTAACGGTCGGACCCCCACCGAACGGGCAAATCCGCGTCTCAATCTAAGACTTCTATTAGCTTGAAGTTTTGATGTTTGGAAGAATCAGAGTAATTGTTAAATAATGTTTTAATTCTAAAAAAATTTTCAATGATTTAAATTCCTTTTAGGAAAGACTATTGTATTTTTTTCCCAATGGTATCTCTAGTTACTGTTGTTTAGATACGGATGTCGACCCATAAGAAAATTGAAGAAAGCAATTTTGAGTGATTGTCATTTTATCGACAATACCAGGATAGCCATTCGAAAGAATTAATAGTCATAATCACAATGCATATATTTTTGTGAAAAAAAAATTTAAGATCAGCAGAGGTGTCAACTGAATTTTCTTTGCAACCTATGATTGTTCCGAACCGATTTCCGATAACAATCACGGTAAAAAAGATTTCAGACAAATTATTGAGATCTGCAGCTACGCCAAAGTTACAAATAATAAAAATCAATATAGCCCAGGTCGTGGACGTACGGCGGGAAACGGCCGGAAAGCACAGGAAAGTGGAAGCAGTATTCCAGTTGGAAGTTACCGGATTTTCTTCCTGCAGATTCCGATCAACTTCCAGATGTAAAACACAGAAAACTGACCGGAATCCACAGGAAAAAAATCCGGTAACTTCCAACTGGAATACTGCTTCCAGTTTCCAGCGCTTTCCCGTGCTTTCCGGCCAGATACGGTGATTTTTCCGCATCTTTCCGGCCGGTTCCTACAGTATCCGTCCTCCGGAATCATTGACCTGGGAGATTGAATTCAACAAAACAGCTAATAAATTTTCTAGTCATTTTCTCTGATTCATTCTATTCTTGATTCTTTTTTTTCTGGCAATTTCTTTAACTAATACATGATCAGCATTATTTATTCCCTCTACTGAAAGGAGGGTCTTACGAAAAGTGAGTTAAATGCGTTCGTTCGTATGTATGTGTGTGTGTGTGCGTGTCCGTTCGTTCGTTCAATAGGAAAGCAGATGCATAAACTTCACTAACCTCAAACAATATCTGTAGAGATAGGTTTCACCGAAGGTAATCGGGGGTTGGGGAACACGATGACGTTACCAGATTTTTGAAATTTTGTACTTCAAACAAGTTTGTAATGGATTAAGAGCTGTTTAGATCGTCACATTTTCTTGATAGGAATGCTTTGTAGGGAAATTTTTTGAGGATACCATCGGTGATGTTTATAGTGTTAGATGTATCGTATGGTTATGTGAGATATTATTACGAATAGGTTATAGGTATCGTGCGGTTGAATTGATTCTCAATTTGGGAGCGGCTAGCCGTGAGTGGCGCTCCGGAGGGGCGCCGAAGAACGACTAGCCGCTCACCTGCACTGAGTGTTTGAAAGCTTTTTTCAAAATCTTCAGTTTATTCTTGATATGTCTACTTTTATTGCAGCACGAAGAATTTATTCAAACTTAAGTCCTAGAATTCTAGATTGGTGCATCTACGAACGGACGCAAAATGATAAGTACCCAGGTTGATCAAAACGGACTCGTTTACGGTCTGTTTGTCGACGGTAGACGATGTCAAAACGGTATCTTTACGGCAGTAAATAGGCCGTATTTGCCGGTAATACCTGGCGCAGTAATACGGCACCGTAAACGGGACTGAATTTTCATGGTTTACGGCTGTTTGTGCTCCGTACTCTCATGATAATACGGTTCGTATTACTGCGCCAGATATTACGGCAAAATTTCGCCCGTAAAATAGTCGTAAAGTAACCGTCAATGGCCGCATACGGACCGTACTGTTCGACCTGGGTACTCGGGAATCATGTCCCATTCTTCACTAAATTGTGATGAATTTATCGCATATGTAGATGTAACTGAATTGAATTAGTCCCACAACTGTTGTTTTCGTTTTTTTTTTGAAAATTCTCTTCGTTTTTATCTAATAATTATAGAATGAGGTGAACCTTTGAATCAGTAATGCGGTGTTTAAAAGGATAACGTTCACCGCATATATGAGAGAAAAGAAATGGGGCCGGGTAGTCGTGAGTGGCGCCCCAGGGGGGCATCGACGAATGACTAGCCGCCCCCACTAGTTCAAAGTCTGTTGTTATTATAGGACTACTTGCCTTGCAGATTTATAGAACAGTTACACGTTGTCTCGATCAGAAATGTTGAAATAACTTTCGAAAATAGGACATATTTTGAATTTCTTCCGACGACAGGTCGTGAAATAATTGCTCAACTCGTGTGAAACATTTGAAATTCATATATGTCGTGATTATGTTAATAAGGTTAGGTTTTCCTGATTGCGAGTGGATTTGATTCAAAAGTTGTAAATCTTAGGCTTATCTATGTGTGAACGTGCACTCAAGAATGAATATATTCATTCTAGACGGGGAACGCACCGAAACAAAATGAACCCACATGAGGTTGAGCAAAAATTAGCACAAATCTGACCGAAATCGAGTTAGAAAAATACACTCTGATGTAATCTCTGATCTACTCGTCCAGATTCATGTTAAATATCTAGTTCATAGACCAATTTGAGTTATAACTTTACTAAAATGGAGTATTTCGATCATAGCTGTCATGAATGGGTCTTTTTCTTCACTCCGTTATTAAGTTGATCGAAATTTTTTGGGGGCGTAGCTTGAGCTGTACCAGATCGGATGCACTTAGCTTCAGTATCGCCATATAATATTAGTAAGTAGTAATTAAATGCCGCTTTCTTGGTGATACTTCCAAGCAAGTTTTCTATTTATGCTCTGTTATCAATCGTGTTTCCCATGAAAATCATTTCAAAGCTATAAAATGTGAAGTCTCTCAGCTAGAAAGTTTTGGATAGCTACGTTCCACATGACTAAATCCTTTCAGTAGAGGGTGTGCGACGCAAACGTCGCGTTACCTTGTTGACATAATAAAGTTAAATCAATCTTTTTTGTAAAATACTCAATTGCAAATTAAATCTTTAAACGTAAACTCGGTTCGATCACGCATTCAATGTTTCCAATGGAAATCTAAAACAAAATGTGCAGTACACTCTGTTTTTATGAGCAAAGTGTATCAAAGTATACAAGAGTCCAATTTTCACAATCTAGAAAACAAAATATAATTTTCGCCATTTTTATCTCATGAAGCAAACATTTTGATCATTAGCGAACAAAAAATATCATACTTAATTAATTTAAAACTATATGCGGCTTTGAAGGTTCAGAGATCAAAGAAATCAGAGTGTAAACTATTTTAGCAAAGTGTACATTGTACACTTTGATTTTCTGAGTAAATGTATAGCAGAATGTAAGTCAAAAGTAGCAGATGTTCTGTACATTTTGCTTCTGCTGTGTAGTGCCGTAACCAGGGGTGGGCATGATAGGGCGCCGCCCTACCACTACCAGTCTTTGCCCTACCCACCCGGAAAAATATGAAAATTTCTAAGATTTCTGTTTTTTATTTACTGTTAATTACAATGTTATAAATGCCTGTTCGAGAGCTGTATTCCTTTTTTATAATTATTCTAGGTAAATTCGCTGATTTTGGCAAAGCGCATAACTTGACTAGTGCTGTTATTAATCAAATTAATGAACTTCGAAGTGAAGAAGAATTTTCTAGACTAACTGGGCAAATAACTGAATTTTGTGTTGAAAATAATATTGGTCTTAGTATTAAAGTTAAAGAAAGAACAATTTCAACAAGATTTTTAAATTGCTCGGTTACCAGTAAAATAGGACAATGTGAGAAAATATCCGAATTTTGTTTCTATCCGATAATTGATTCTATCCTTGTAGAAATGAATAGGGGTATGACAGTTCAGTTTTAGTTCCAATCAAAAGAACTATTCGAATAGATCTCATAAGAGACACGTATTTCAATATAGACACCATCCAAGTGTAGATCCTAACACTATGCTCAAACAATCAAAATCAAAAGACGTAGTTGATTTAGTTTTTGAATTTTTACCATTAGAACAAGCATTCCTCACGATTATATATCTTGCTATCGGTGCTTTGACTATTCCTGTGTGTTCAACTACAACAGAACGAACATTCAGTAAATAAAATTAGTCAAAACTGGTGCACGTACTAGTATGTCGGACGATACGCTAAGTGCTTGGTCTTTATTAGCTATTGAAAGAGATTTTGTTGTTGATAATGAAAAAATAATTGGTGCTTTTGCCATTCAGCACAAAAACAGTCGAGTGTTGTTGAAATAACTGTTATTTATTTATGTATTTATTTTTCATCTCTTCTCTTTATTGTTCCCATAAATTCACCTAATATAGCAGTATAGATACATTGAATTGTCCTTTTTTGAGAAAGTAGAAATTGAGGATCTGTTTTTGATCGCCGAAAAAATCTAAGTTATAGTGGTGGATGAGCTTTTAAAAAATGATAGGGCGCCGCCCTACCACTAGAGAAGCCCTGCAACTAGAGAATTCCTGGTTACGCTAATAATTTCCTCCTCATAGATATATTTGCGATGACGCTCACTCTTTCCTTCCATTTATCCTATTGATCCGAACGAATCAACTAATGAAATTTGTTTTCTCTCCTGTAAACATAACATTAAAGATCGATAAAACGAGGACGAGGATCAGACTAGAAAGAAAAATACATTTTCTCTCCTCTCTGTTAGCGTCGTAAGATGTCGCTGTACGACACTAACTTGTTTTTCTTAAACTTATTCGTTTCTTTTCTGTCATTCCTTTTCATCGTAATCGATAG